TCCGCGGAGGACACGAGGAGTCCCGTCCACGGATCTCAGAGCCCCTGCAATACTCCGGATTGTTGGACTCGTATTCTCACCAAGACTTGACTCCGGTCATTGGTAGAGAGTACAGAGGACTCCAGGTGGCCGACATACTCAAAGCGGAAAACTCCGACCAGATTATCAAAGACCTCGCGGTGACGAGTATGTTTTGCGCTTATCCAAATGTTCTTAGAATACGCCATATACTGATAATTGACAGTTTCGAAGAGAGGCGTTGTTTTCCTTCGTGACCAGGACGTCACACCCCAGCAAATGAGAGAGTTCGGCGAAAAGCTGACTGTTCTGGCTGGTTGCGTAAGTGGTCCTGACGATCTCTGGTATGATCATTAGATAGACAGCTCACATTTCCCTCTAAAGCCCGAATCATCCGGCCTCCACGTTCACCCTTTGACGGAAGAAGGCAGCGAACTTGGTGACCAAATCAGCGTCATCAGCAGCGAAAAGCAGAAGAAAGGAGGCGGTCTTACCCACCAACTCAGCGATACGAGTCGCTTCGCCTCTGTAGGATGGCATACCGATATCAGCTTCGAGCGCGTACCCTCCGACTACGCCATGCTCAAGATTCACACTCTGCCCGAAACCGGCGGAGACACGCTCTGGGCCTCGGGCTACGAGATCTATGACCGCCTGTCTCCTGAGATGGCTGCCTTCCTTGAGGGTCTGACAGCCACGCACGATGCTAGCTTCTTCCATGACGAAGCACGCAGGCTGGGAAATCCCCTACGCAAGGGAATCAGAGGATCGCCACTGAATCAGGGTGAAGACCTTAAGGCGGTTCATCCTGTTGTTCGTACTAACCGTACGCATCAACCTTCCATTCCAATCTAGGTGACAGTGCTAATGTTGTTATAGCTGTTACCGGTTGGAAGTCCGTTTATGTGAATAAGGGATTCACCAAGCGAATTAATGGGGTAACCAAGGACGAGTCCGATATGCTGCTGCAGTATCTCTTCAATGTGAGCCAGAAACAACCTATTTGCCAACATTTGGTCAAACTGACATTCGACAGCTCGTCACACAAAACCACGACGCGCAGGTTCGCTTCAGGTGGAACAAGAATGATATGGCCATTTGGGATAACAGATCCACCTGGCACTGCGCCACTTACGACTACGCTGAAGCCCGGGCTGGTGACCGGGTCTGCAGTCTGGGTGAAGCTCCTTACTTGGACCTCCAGTCCAAATCCAGGAAGCAGGCGTTGGCAGAGGCTCAAGCTTAAGCTTGGGATACTGGCATTATAGGAGTTTAGATTCTCTTCAAGTGGCGGGTACCACAAACTATGTAGTAATGAATCTTCTGTTTCTTTTTCTGACTGGCTTCGAATCGTGGGGTGGATTTCAATTAACGAAACTCGATACCATGGATGTTGTCGTTTACGATGGTATCTCCTTGAACCGTATGGCTAGTAATTTAGTGCTCGTTAAATTAGGCGCTCTTTGAAGGGGACGGCTCGGTGCAAACAAGCTCTACAACTATAAATTCACTTCTGTTGGCTGGAGCTGTCGATCATCTGACCCCCTCCTTCCCGTTGTGTTCTTTTGACAGTCTTACATATCTTGTCTGCAACCAACCTACAAATCTTCATCACACCACAAGTACAACATCTTTCTTAATGTTTCATATACAGTTATATTATAAACAAGAATGCCCACATCGAATTATAGTACGAGTCTTATCAGACAGTCCCATTAATCCCAAAGAAGGAAAGTCCAAACGCCAGTTAGCTCGGTCCCACACGATAACCGTCGATTAGGCAGTGCCAGTCCACCAGCAAGCTGTGTATGCCTAACAGCATTGAAATAGCGACGAAAGGTCTAATTAGACTCCCAATGGCAAAAAGGTGACAGATTCCCGATCTGTCGAATAGAAGTGAAAAGTCATGTGTGGGTGTTTTATGCCTGACAAGGCTCAGACATTCTCATATAGTTCCAGCAAACTGCATCATGTTAGATACTGATCTTAAATGGACCATCAGAATCACTCACTGCTATAACCCATATCCTCGCCGAACATAACGTCATGGACATCTTCACCATCCTTCGTCCCCGAATCCGGGGTATATGTGACTGCTGTCTTGCCCATGGAGAGTGCCATTACCGGAGGTACCTCCTGAAGATTGATAAACTCAGGCTTGTAGTTTGATTCCTCCGACAGCATGAGCTGATGAGCATTGACGGCTGCATGATAGCCCATATGCATTGCAGCTCCGCAACGTTTGATTCCTGACCAGGATACCATATCACCGACGGCAAAATGGGAATCGGCGTTCGGGATATTCTTGGGGAATTGTGTACTGGATTAAGGTTAGCCCCGTTTGAGTGATTATCCTTTGAGAGACATACGATGCTCGGATCTTGACATAACCCTCCTCAGTTAAGGCCTCTTCTGGGAGGTACGACGTTGTGGGAACAGATTTGGAAATGGCATTCATGACATGGCCTGCATAGATGTTTCTTCCATCAGCCAGCTCAAGTTTCCACAGCCGTCGCTCTCCCTCTGTCTCAATAGCCGTGATGTCGAGGACTCGTCGTCCGAAAATGATCTTCACGCCTGCTTCACGCAGAATGGATCCCACACGCTCCTGGAACTCAGCCGGCAAAGGTTCTGCTGAGAGTACACGATCACGAGAGTGAATCAACGTGATATTCCGGTTGGGATGAAGAAGTCTGAGCTCAGTTGCCATTTCAACACCAACAGCACCTAAGTTTATGCTCGGTCAGTCATACCATATCCCGAGTGCCTGACGAAGGGCAAGCTACATACCTCCTCCGATAACCACAATTCCATCCTGGGCATTGCGGATGTCATCTACATGCTTCTTGGCTTCCTCCACAAACTCGTCTCTGCGAAGAGACTGAGGGACGGTTGGAAAGACACGTCGAAGTCCTGAACTAGCAATCAGGAAGTCATATTTCTCCTTTCGTGTTTCCTTGGTGTGGGCGTCAAGGATGCGGGCCACTTTGCTTTGGCAGTCCACGGAATTCACACTGCCGCGCAGAAATCGAATGTCCGGAGACTTCAAAGCTGGAATGTCCTCGAACTTTGTCCAGGTCTTCGATGCATAGTTGTCGCATGCCAAAGCTCTGGGGGATCCAATTAAGTGATCTACAACAAGGAGTACGCATTAGCGACGTGGACCGCAAAGACTCTGGGAAGGTCAGATGAGTGATGAGCCTTACAGAACCCGTCACGTTCGTCCACGACGGTTATTTGAATTGGAAGCTGTCTCTGCGGCGGCTGCGCATCTGGGGCCGAATTGAAACGGCATACTCGGCCGCGAGATAGGTCAAGCAATGTCAGCGCGGCAGTCAAGCCACCGTATGAGCCCCCGACGACCAAGACGCGGAACTGTCGCGTGAAAGAAGCGATGCTTGTAGCAGACGGCATTATGGAACGCTTGGCGCAGGTATTACAAGAGCGGAGATTAAAGAGAAGTAAGGGGAGATCACGCAAAATGTGAGAAGTCAACAGAAACTAAAATGGAGGGAACGAAGGCCGGGAGCAGAGCTGCTTTTAAGCACGAAGACCGCAATAACTCCGGCGAAAGAGGAGGCCACAGGAGCCGAGACCGAGGGACCGGCTCAGTAACGGTGGAGCCGATTGATATTGGTCAGTATCTGCTCTGGGAAGGGGCAGAGAAATTGATTGCTTCTATTTCTATCGCCGAATGAACCGAAAATCTGGTACGGACTGACGTATATGCCGTTTCTGCTGCTCGATACTCCACCGTTGGAAAAGAAGATGCCTAGAAGTTTACGGAGTAGCAATTCCCGCAGTTTGCCTGCGATTCAGGTAGTTCATTGGGTATATCTCCAGCGAGACCCGTAATACAGGGTGATCCGGAGGACGTGGAATATTCGACACCGGATCGTGTGATTCCGGGCACTGCCAGAAATGGGTCCTTGGTGACCAATAGGGGCCGCTCTCCACAGGGGGTCATCTTATCAGATGGAACGCCAGCGAGATCGGAACAGAGCAGTTGTGAGTAAGTGGTCCAGGAAACCCCGATATATTATATTTTGAGCTCTGAGAGTCATACACAGAACGCGGTAGGCTTACACAATAACCTTTGACATTATCTCTTCATCTGCACAAACACGAGTGATGTAAAAAGGTGGCTCGTCCTCCTTGGGCTGGCATCCCCGAGTCGGAAAACAAAAAAGTTATCTGATCCGCCTCTGCATTCCAGATTGACACACCTGCCGCTATTCTTTCCTAGTCTGGAGTAGCGCCGCTCGCCTACTTTCGCACCTCTGACTGCCCCTCCTCGTTTCTCTTCCAATCAGTCTCCAAAAAGTTATCAGATGGAAGGCAGGTGCCACAGTTATTCCCGAACTCGGAATTTGATGAGGTGCCACCGGCTCTTCTGAAACTTCGACCCTTGGCTGTGTGCTCGGCGCCTTCCTCGCTTTGTGCATCGGCTTGAGTGATTGCGCAAGAGGGCAGAAAGAGAAGAGAATATTCGCCGCCGCTCATCTCACTTGGGGAGGGGGTAATTCATACGCTTGGTCACGAGGGAAATTCAGGTGGGCTTTATGGGCGAATCGATTTCCCAAACGCGTCCTATTGACAGCAACCACGTCTGCTTTCCTGGCTTAACCTTTTTGTGCCCAATTCTGGGGTCTCCATAGTCTAGCGCATGCACTGGCTATGAAGATCAACAAGCAACTCAGGCTAAAGAGGTCATGACCGAGAAAATGCGGGATTACAGACGCAAACTGTCGATCAGGTAGGCCAGGGCCGCAGGGGCTGGGACTGCCTCGCTGGTCCCACACGCTCGATCTACGGCCGTCTCTCAGGCCGAGTTACCGCAAAGGATATTTAGGGAAAGCCGGATATGCTCGATTTCGGAATAGTTAAGGCTCTGAACTACTACTTTAACTACTGACCCCCGAGCCTATGTACGTCACCGCGCGTTTACTTCAGCCCAGACAACTCATGCAATATCCACACACTCAAAACCACCTTGACTTATCCCCATTATGACTCAAAAACAACCCGCTAGACTTAGCATCCAAGCGCTCAATCACCTGGAGACACTTCTTAACACTCTCTTCGGGCTGGATCTGCTCCCTGAGCTCAGGCTCAACCAACTGGAACTTTTTCAGCAAGAGCTCATTTGCGTATACTACCCCAGCGGGTTTCTCACCTGTTGTACCGACTATATTAGCATCCCTGTTCTACAGACCAATGAAAGAATAAGTCAAGGGCAATGGAATTGACTTACCCTCCCATGTATCAACCCACCCCGGGCTCAAAGCCAAAACCTTGATCCCTTTGGGCGCAAGCTCCGCCGCATATTTCGCAACCACAACATTCATTCCCGCTTTTGCAATAGAATACGCAACGGCGTTACTGATACCGGCCTTATTGATAAGCTCTACGTCTGCCATGCCGCTAGAGATGTGCACGATCTTCTTCTGCACTCCCTTCTCGATCAAGGGTAGGAAGGCGTTCGTCGCCCATAGACCGCCGTAGATAGCTGTGTTGAGCGACGGGTTGAATATTTCTTGAATTGCTTGAGCGTCGAATGGTAGTTGGCTTGGGGTAGAGGCCATGCTAGCCTTATCAACGGCGTTGGAATTGTGGATGAGCACGTCGAGCTTGCCGTCAGTAATGGCGGCTGCGGTTGTGGCCGCCTCTAGAATGGATTTTGGGTCCGTGACATCGCCTTTGATGATGTGTACATTGGAGTGCTTGGATGCGAGATCTGATATTTCGGCTGATTCGGGGTCTCGCACGACTGCCAGGACTGTGTTGGCTAAGTCGGCGGCGAGTTGGCGCACGAATTCGCGGCCGATGCCTTTAGAGGCGCCAGTGATCGCGTATGAAGACATTCTCGGATTTTGAATAAAGGGGGTAGATATTAAGTATATCTTAATGTTAACAAATTGAGTTGATTCTGTCTGATGCTATTTCCAATTTCTGTCGCTATACTCGTGGAAATTTATATACATTCGGCGGATTACCAACCCTCCCGACCGGACGATCCGATCCCCCGATCTTACTACTCCTCCTCAGGAAGCGGTAGTCAGCATCCTCATCAACCGGCCGCTCCGTTTCCCCCGTCCCCGACTCCTCACTATGCGACAGAATGAGCTCCCCCATCTCTGCAGTCAAGAGGAGAGCATGTGTGGCATGCACCACAGCCAAGGCGAAGTGTACGCCGCAGGCTGCCAACCTGTGCCAGCGATGCGCTCGTCTAGGCAAGTCATGCACGTACCTTGACCTTCCGCAGACAAAGCGTAAGCAGAGGCAGAACGCCGCACCGAGGTAATCTCCTCTATCCAGGACAAATAGCACTTACAGTGCTAACTAGTACGAATATAGCCGTGTAGAGCTTCTAGAGAAGAAAGTCGACCAGCTCATGTCGCAGCTGGCGACCCTGACCCAACAACAGAACGGGCAGCCATTAGTATCGCCCGCCACCTCTACGAATGACAGCCCACCCATGAACACCAACAGAGAGTTGCGCTCATCTTCCCATGAAGCCTCTACACTAGAGAACCCAACAGACACAGATATAGCCGCGCTGCTAGATGCAGCCAAAGACCCGTCCCACGGCCCCGATCCGCCGACCAGCTCTGTTCTCGAGGACCGGCCATCACTCGTAGATCGGGGCCTCTTGAGTCCAGCTGAAACCGAACGTATGCTCACAACCTTCAAAGCTGACTTTGTGCGCAAGTTCCCCTTTGTCTTGATCCCGCATGGCGAGACAGCCGCTCGACTCAGAGTTCGAGAGCCGTTTCTGTTTCTGTGCATCGTGGCAGCGACGATGGGCAGTGCGCATCCTCTGCGCAGGACTGTCGCTGAGGAGGTCATGACCCATGTTACGTCGAGGATCGTGGCACGATCGGAGAGGAGTCTTGAGTTGCTTCGTGGATTGTTGGTTCATTGTGCGTGGTACTCGTATCCTGCCGAGAAGTATCATCCGAGGCTTTTGCTGTTGGTTCAGCTTTGTACCTCGATTCTGTATGACTTGGGGCTGCATAAAAGGAATAGGCTGGGTGTGGATGAGCAGCGCGCGCTGCTCGGGACGTATTGGTTGTCTGTTGGGTGAGTTGATGTTGTCTTTCTCTTCGCTGGTACATGCGGCTTTGAGCTAATTATATATGCGTGCTGGTAGGTTCTGTGGCACACTCGGCAGACCGATTACTATGAAGCACGATGATCGAATAAAAGAGGCTGTTGAATGTCTAGCATCATCCACTACCACCGAATACACATCAGATCGCTGGATCGCACCCTTGCTCAACCTACAGTCATTCATGGCAACAATGGACGAAGTCTACGCTTCAATGCAAGCAACCGGCGGAAGTGCCCTCGTGCAAATCACGCGCGGCTCTCTACAGCGACAACTCGATAGCATACAGACATGTATAGCAAAGGATCTCCCAAGCTGCCCTCCATCAACAGGTAAGTTCACCCACCATCTCCCACATAATCATAACTGACCACCAACCAACCCATTCAGCAACCGCAATATCCACCGAACTCAAGTACGCAGAAATGCGTCTCGAGGAACCATCTCTTCGCGAAGATCTATGGACAGCAGACCCCATCAACGCCATCCGAACCACCATGCTAATGACCCTCATCCAACGATGCAAGGAACTCATACAAATCATTACGAGCCTCCCCGTATCAGAGATTCCCCAGTTGACAATAATAACTAATGCCCGTATCTGCGCCGCAGTGGGATACATTCCCACAGCCGTATTGACACTTCTTAATCTCATAACTAGCACCTCCCCAACAACAAACCAAGACCACCAAACACAAATCCAATCCATCATCGACACAGCAGACTATCCAAATCTCGTCACCAAGCTAGCCACCGCACTGGAAACGAGATTGCAAGAAAAGGGAATACGAATGTCCGCACAAGACAAAGAGATGGATGTTGTAGGAAGTCTCTGTTCGAAGATGCGGTTGTTGGCGCGTTGTTATCCTTATCAGATTAGGGGGGTTGTGGGACGAGATATAAGGCAGGAGAATAGTGCAACCTCGTCAGCATCTGGCGTGATGACTGCAGGCCAACAGCAGGATAGTAGTATGGGTGTTGAGGGTGAAATGTCTCAGGACTGGATGCCAGGTAATAGTATCTACGGCGATATGGAGGCTATGTTTCCCCTGGATGATATTCAGTGGGATTCGCTGTTGAGGGATTTTACTACGGGGTTTGGGTAGTTGTTCAGTAGTTGGTACTACGGTATTTCTAATATTGGTTTAGTGGATTGATGATTGTGGTCGAAGTCTATGTAAGATAGTAGTCCATATTTCGTGGGGACGTCCTTTCGGATGGAAGCGGATCCTCCGGTGCGGGATCGCGTGGGCGGAGGTTCCGGTTGAAGATTGTGCATGATCACATAGTCGCACTACCAAGCTAACTTAGTTATTTGCTTTGTAATGAGTAAGTAGATACTAGATTTCTGCCATTAGCTAGTGATGCTTGCATCGATTTATCATAGCATGCATGCTGGATTCCGATAATGACTGGTCGTGTTTATGGCTGATATATGGCCTGCAGTACTTGAAGAGCATTTGAGTACCTTCTATATGATAGGGGCGGTCGCATTCGTCGAATGAGAAGCAGAAATGCTATTTATCAGACTACTCTATCTATTGAATCAGGCATTCAACCAAGGCAGACCGTGTTCGAATCAGCGCTCAATTGCAAGGCAGCAGTTTCCCGGCGAGACTTCCGGGATGCGAGTAAAACCAGTTCTTTCTTTCATGGGGGAAAATCAATGACAAAACCTCATCAAATGAGAGGACAGCAGCCGACCAAGAGCGTACGTTTGCATTTCAAGAATTCATAATCCCAGCAGACAGGGAGTAAGGGCATAACACAGGACAGCATAACGGATAGATAGCGATATGGGTGATATCGTATAACAGCGGTAGGTAGTCCAGGAAACGCCCGCGACTTCCGGAACGATAATGATTATAATCCGTCTCAAATAGTCAGGCCTCTCCTCCCCACCATTGTCTTAATCTGAACACATGTACACTGTATTTGAAGAAGGCAGCGGCAGGCTGGAACAAGTAGTGGCCTACTGCACATCCATGCCCCGCTGCAGCGACGATTCCAGATCGTTGTGGTGGCCACCGCCTGCGGCGAGCGCTTCCTGGGGCTTAGGTTCCTCCGTCTTCCATCCACCTTGTTGGTTGTCGGGGATGGGCACATTGGTCTGCTGGGCAATCTGCTGCTGCTGCGCGGCGGCCTGCGCCTGCGACTGCTGCCGGACCAGAGCCCGGAAGCGCACTACCTCGTCATAAATCATGTGGCGCATCTCCTGCACGTCCTCGACCACCTCGAAGTGGAAGTCGAAGGTTGTCGGGCAGGTGGGCTCATCCGAGGCGTCGTGCCAGATGTGCAAGTAAGGATGCTCAAGGGCCTCCTCAACCGAGATACGCGATGTCGGGTCGAATGCAAGCATGCGATCGAGCAGATCGAGAGCATCGGGATTGGCATTGGGGAACAGGCGCTGGAAGGGAATCTTAGGCATGAAGGGCAAGTTGCGAACGTACTCCTGGGCACGAGGTGAGCCAATGCGGCTCAGAGTCTCCTCGTTAGGAGTACCCAGATAGTGGAGGATCTGGTTAAGCTGGTCGACATAGTCACGGCCCTTGAAGAAGGGCCGACCACCTAGCAGCTCGGCCAAAATGCAACCCACGGACCAAACATCGACTGGGTATTGATTAGCAATAGCGCCGGGGTAGGGGAGGATGAGAGACACATACTGGCTTTCGTGTAGCTCTGGAAGCTCAGCATGATTTCCGGCGCACGGTACCATCTTGTGGCAACATATTCCGTCATGTATCCTGCATTCTCCTCCGGATCGATAGAGAAACCACGGGCCAGACCGAAATCGCAAATCTTCAGCTCGCAGTCCGCATTGACGAGAAGGTTTCCAGGCTTCAAATCACGGTGCAGAACGTTGGCCGAATGGATGTATTTGAGACCGCAGAGGATTTGGTAAATGAAGGATTGGAAATGGGCATCGGTTAGGGGCTGTCCGGAGCGAATAATAGCGGCCAAATCGCACTCCATCAATTCTAATGAAGGATGGTATTAGCATCAGGAACTAGTAGCCCGCAGGTACCGAAGGAAGCCTCACCCTCGTACAGGTACGTTTCGTTGAAGTTGTCCGGGCGGGGAATGTCCATGTCATACAAGCAAGTGATCTAAGCCATTTTCACGTCAGACTCGAGGCTCGGAGCAATAATCGGAATGAGTGTAATAATAACGCACGTTACGGTGACCTCTGAAGTGCTGGAGCAGCTTGATCTCTCTCAGGGCGCGTTTGGCTAGGATCTTCTTGCTGAAGACGTTGGTGACCTTCTTGATGGCGACACCCTCACCAGTGTGAGCATTTGTCGCGGCGCTGAAATTGTTAGAAAAATAAGATCCATGAAACCGATATTGACTCCTCCACGATGAGTGCACTCTGTCGCAGAATGTCAAACCTACCAGACAATGCCGTATGCGCCCTGGCCCAGCTCCTTGGTGACATTGTAGCGCTCATCGACGATAAAGTCCTGGTTGAAGACCTTGAAGATCTTGCGACCCTGCAAGTCGGCCATGATAAACACTCGTACAAAGAAGAAAACAAGAAAGATGGTAGAAAGAAGCGAGACGAGGTAAGGCGGGGGAGGTAAAGGGGAAGTTATGAGGCCGATTGGGAGAATCGATGAGGTAGGGAGAGAGTTGTTCCGATGGATGGCACCAGGTGGGGTAGTGAGTTAAGTGAGTTAATAGTAGCAAAGTAGCCGCTGGGCTGGCCCGGCGGTGGATTGAGATTCTTTCTTTTCCCTGGCGGATTCCGGCCTCTCACTCAGAGAAAATTCGCTCCGGCTGAGGTTGCTTTTTCTCCCTTTTTATTTTCTCTTTGTCACTTCTCTCCAGACAAGCTCGGCGGGTTGAAGGCACAGAACCAGTCAATTCACGAGGAATGGCGTCTGTCAGGCCGTCGTTCTGGGTCAGCGCCCCGCCAATGTCCGGGAGGGTCTGGATTTACTCTGAAACAGGAGAAGCTGGAATTGCGGGATCAGCAGAGACACGGCAAGACAGGCTCGAAGACTCAACAGGCAGGAAGAAGAAGAAAACGAGGGACTGAAAACCACCGAGAGGAGAAATTAAAAGAATCCGAGAGATGAGTTCGTGAAGTGATGAGGTGTGACGGGCAACTCACATCGGTTTCTGATTGGACCCTGCGAAGCGCGCAGCTTGCAGCAATTGAGGGGAACCGTTCATAGTCGGAGATGCAGGAGGAGGCGTTGCAGCCCATAGGAAGGCAATGCAACTAACTAGCGAGAATTTGTCTCCATAACGGCGCGTCTTGAGGATGCAAAAGCAGGAACCTCTACAAGACAGGTGGGCAGGTTTACACTCCTCGACTGGCCAGGCGCGATCAGGAGCGATGGTCTTGTGCCTGAGGCAGTCCGCATTTTCCACTTCGAAAAGGCCACCACATTGTGGTCTTCAGCACATACCACGGGGAGAGGAAGATGTGGAAGGTAATTTTACATATTTCCCTGCTTCTCCCTACGTCTATGTCTATCTAATCGAAACAGTCATCTCACGCAGCATGATTCCAAACCACCTCCAACACCTCCAGCTCTTCAGGTGTCACTTCATGCACATATATCTGCCTAACTCGCTCCTTCTCTTGCACTACATCTCGCATCCGAAAAGAGATCTTCTTTTCATCCTTGCGGCGTAATGGCCCCAAGCTGTAGGTAAACGGGTTTGGACCGGTATACTGGCTAGCATTCCAGGTCTGCTCCATGGCCAAGGGATCGTCTGACACGGTCGAATACTTGATCACGGAGAATCCGTTGACAAGGTACCACTCGTCTTGTAGTAGCCACCTGTGGAGCAAGCACTCCTCGCCACAGATGCTGGATGCTTTACTGAGAGCCACCATATCAGCCTGAAACCAGGATTTCCAATGATGCACGGAGAGAGGCTGATCCCGCCCAGCCTCGTAAAACCCTGACGCATCCCCCCGGAGATCCAGCTGGAAAAGATCTCGCTCCCAGGAGAGCTTAGTATTTGTGTGCTTATAGATGCACTGCGAAAGCATGTGGTCACCACCCCCTTTAAACACGTAACATTCATCGAACCAAGGCTGGAGCTGCTCGAGAAGCGGTATAGATAGGAAGATCCCTGCACCACCATATGCCATGTAGCCACTACTGTACATCTGCTGCAAATCCTCCGTCACAGCACCGACATACTGGGGCATTGAGGCATCGTAGGTGGCCAACCGATCCACCAGCCGGGTCATTGACGGGAAGAACGTATCATCATCCATCATAACCACCCACTGAGTAGACTTATCCTTGTGCTTGTACAGGTACTGCACTAGATAGAAGTATCGATCCAAGCGCTCGTTATCTTCCTGGAGGATGGTGAGACGGATTCCTAGCGCCTGCGCCCGTCTCTCAGCCTCCTTCTTTCGTCCCCCGCTATCAACCACAGCCAAGATCCGGGCATTGGTGCCTGCAGCCCAGTGCGCAAACGCGTCCAGGGAGTCGATTAAACGATCAGTCGATGTGGAAAGGCCGAATATGATATGGGAAGCATCCGGGGGTGCACTGGGCTGAGGCCCCTCAATGGTCACGGTGGCAGTACATTTTTCCGGCGACAGGTCCTCTCGAGGGGCTTCTGTGTCTAAGCGTACGGTGTGGAACTTTGGGAATCGCGTGCTGAGAGTATCCGTATAACCCGTGAAGTTTTCCGTAGATGTCACGGCTATCTCGAGCCTCGCATATTGTACCGTGGCGGTACTGGAGTATTGTCGGAGAAGATCGAGATCCACAAAGCAAGGATTGGTGTCATCGGGAGAAGCTAGGGAAGGACTGGTCTCGAGATCGGGAATTGGAGCGACATAGCTAGGTCTGGAGTAGAAGAATAGTATGAAGCCTGCGGAGAAAAAGGCCGCCGCGAAGATTAGTGCCGACGCCCTTGATTGGCGCCATGAGCGACGGTGCAACGGCGGAGCCATCATGGATCAGTCATGACGGTGATGCGATTGAACCTTGCCGTATACAAAATTGTTGTGCACACAGGGATCATCCTCACCCCCAATCAGAAAGGGCTTGATTCTGTCCTCAGGGAGTGCAAAATGGAAGGGGGAAAAGCAAAACGTGGTACATTAAGTCCGAGCAGTCTGGCTCGCGTTTCGGGAATGGACGGTCGGACATCCGAAACGAATCGGCGGCCAGTATTTGGGGCGAGACTTCACCCCCTTCCTTGAGAGATCAATTGCTTGAAATAATATCATGAATGAGGCTCGATTAACAATCAACAGCTAGCTCTAACGCCCTTGCAATTCTAAACAATATCCTCTGCCGCCATACACGTGAACTTTTTACCCCGAAGGCTATATAGATACTAAATCACCGTAGAAGAAACACAGCACCACGTCCTCATCACGCGCTGGCTTCGTCTTAGTCTTCTGGTCTAATCTCTCATCAATGCCCACATCGCTTCTTATGCGATCTAGTATCTAAGTCATGGTATATTGACACGTAGATCTCGTAGCACGTAATTCAGAACCCGCGATGCAAACGATCAGATGCAAGAAAAAGCATGTTCCGTTTAAAGAGCGTTGACCAGTCTCCGCTCCTTCCTCAGAGACCGGAGCTTCTCGCGGACCTCGTCGAGAGGAATCATCACGCCCTGTTTCTGGGTGGCAGGGTCATCACGGTTGCGGATGTTAACCGTGCGGCTCTCCTTTTCGGAAGCACCAACAACTATTCCATACTATCAGCGCGGGTTCTAAGACAATAGAGATTCAAATGTCAACTTACCGAAGATGAAGTTATATTGCTGAAGCTGTCCAGTACGGATCTTCTTCTGCATGGTGTTGCCGCTGAGGTCGATGTCCACATTCAGCTTATCGCCGCGGAGAATCGTCTGCAACTCCTCGACGTAGTCGTTGACAGCAGGCATGACGGGCACAATCAGAATCTGACGAGGGCTGATCCAGAAAGGCCACTTGCCACCGAAGTGCTCAATCAAAATTCCAAGGAAACGCTCGAAACTGCCGATGATAGCACGGTGGATGACAACCGGGCGGGCACGGCCAGGACCAGGCTCGTTGGGCTTGGCCTCACCCTCCTTAGCGGCATCAGCAGAAGCCTTCTCATTGCTCATGTACTCAAGCTTGAAGTTGATAGGAGCCTGGTAATCGAGCTGGATAGTCGCGCACTGGAACTCTCGCTTGAGGGCGTCAGCGATGGTAATATCGATCTTAGGCCCGTAGAAGGCACCATCACCCTCATCGATGGTCCAGTCATTGCCCTTGAACTTGGTCATGGCCGCCTTGAGCTGCTCCTCTGCGTAGTTCCAGGTCTCGAGCTCACCCAGGTACTTCTCGGGCCGGGTGGAGAGCTTCAGCTTGAAGGTGAAACCGAACAGGCCATAGATAGCCTGCAGGAAGTCGAACAGACCCTCGATTTCAGAAGTGATCTTCACAGTGTTAGCTTTGAAATACTTGTCACAATGCAATTCCAATCGTCAGTACTCACCTGGTCTTGAGTACAGAAAATGTGAGTGTCATCCTGCTGGAACTTGCGGACACGGGTGAGACCGCTCAGGGCTCCGGACGCCTCATTTCTGTGCAGGACACCAAAGTCCGCGATTCTCAGGGGAAGCTCTCTGTAACTTCTCTCACGGTGGCCGAAGAGCACAAAGTGACCGGGGCAGTTCATAGGCTTGAGAGCCCACTCCCTCTTCTCAACGTCAAGCTTGAACATGTCATCCTTGTAGTGGGCCCAGTGGCCAGACGTCTTCCAGATGCCGACATCATACATGTTGGGAGTCTGAACCTCCTGGTAGCCGCGCTTGCGGTACTCCGAGCGCAAAAGGGATTGGAGGGCGTTGAAGATCTTGGTACCGTTGGGCAGAAGGAAGGGGCATCCTGGAGAAACCTCGTCGAAGAAGAACAGCTCTTGCTCCTTGCCCAGCTTAACGTGGTTGCGCTTCTCGGCCTCCTCCAAGAACTTCAGGTGCTCTTGCATCTGCTTCTTATCGGGGAAAGCAACACCGCGGATACGCTGCAGAGAGTCGTTGGATTGGTCACCGAGGAAGTAGGCGGAAGAGTTCTTTGAAGCGTCAGTCATACATCTTCGAGGCATAGACTCATGAATATACACACCTGCATGATCTTGAAGGTCTTGACCTTGCCGGTGCTCTGGATATGGGGACCTCTGCACAGGTCGACCAGGGAACCACACCGGTAGACAGTGCTCTTCTCTCCGGTGACGAGCTTGTCAATGTAGTGCAGCTTGTACTTGCTGTAGGCGAACATCTTCTTGAGGTTCTCCTTCGTAACCTCCAGTCTATCGAAACTCTGCTTTTCCTTGAAGATGCGGTTGGCGTGGCGGTCCAATGACGGCCAATCGGTCTCCCTAACGACGCGGCTGTTTCACTATCAGTATAGTTCTTTGGCATTATCTCACCCACACTTACTTGTCTGGCATGGCCATGTCATAGAAGAAACCCTGGGGGGTAGGAGGACCGTGGGACAGAAGACATCCATATTCGCATTCACAAGCCTCACCCAGACAGTGGGCGCTAGAGTGCCAGAAGACTTCCCTACCCTCGGGGTGATCGAAGGGAACATAAGAAACGGTGCATTCTCCCTCGAGCGGACGGCTCAGATCCCACAGTTCCTTTCCAACCCTCGCGAGGACAACATTGGCGCTCAACTCTTTGGGCACGTTCTTCAGAAGCTGTGCGGGGGTGGTCTCCCAGGCGTTTGCGGTGACATCGATGGAGTTTCCGTCGCCAAGCTCAATCGTGACCTTGATTTCGGGGTGGGGCTTGTTCTTGAGTTCCTCGAGATATTGCTGCCAGAGTTCCTCGAAGAAGTTGTTACGTTCGACAATGAAATCGGGGAGACCGTCACCTGGCGCATTCGAAGGTTAAAAGAGGGGTTTTGGAAGTGTATGGCGGGGCAGGCAGTGGCTCACCAGCAGGTTTGGCGTCGGCCGCCGGCCGGACGGGAAGGTCCTTTGCGCCTTCAGAAGACATTTTGTATCCAGAAACGTCTGAAGAACGACCTGGGAGTTTAGACCTGAGAAGAGGGGAAGGGCCAGCAACGATGTCTGACTCACACTATATCTAAGGAATCGGACGATCATGAAACGCAAATCGACAGTGAGGGCCCGAAGGCGGTGAGGCACGTGACAGAAAACTGCCCTTGCGGCTAGCGACACTTTACCGTTTCGAGCTTCCCACCATTTGAAAACTTCTCCGGACTCCGAGATCCAGGTCGACCGCAACAACAGCAATTAAAGATGTCTTTCCGTGGAGGCCGTGGCGGTTTCGGTGGCCGTGGAGGTGAGCTCTAGCAACATAAGAGGTTGATCGCAATGCTGGGTATGAGCTAACGAAAATTTCGTCGGATAGGTCGCGGAGGTTTCCAGCAACCTCTCGGTCCCCCTGCCCAAGTTCTGGGTAATTATACGCCAAAATGCGACTGGAGTGATTGGGACTAACGCGGAATAACTAGAGATGGGAACTGTCATGCATTCTTGCGAAGGCGAGATGGTTTGCGAATCGATCAACCCCAAGATTCCCTACTTCAACGCCCCCATCTACCTCGAGAACAAGGTATGCTCGACCTAGCTACTCTCCGCAAACTCGCGATGCGCTAACGCAATTCTTCAATAGACCCCTATCGGCAAGGTCGATGAAGTCCTGGGCCCTATCAACCAGGTCTACTTCACCATCAAGCCCCAGGAAGGAATTGTCGCAACCTCCTTCAAGCCTGGTGACAAGGTCTACATTGGTGGCGACAAGCTCCTTCCCTTGGAGAAGTATGTTGCGAGTTGTTCTTGATCATAATGGAAACTTGTCTAACTTTGCAAAACTAGGTTCCTTCCCAAGCCCAAGCCCGCTCCCGGTATGATTTCACTCGCTTCGCGCAACAATCCAATGTGCTTGATCCTAACCAGAATGCAGGTGCTGCCAAGCCCAAGAGAGCTGGCGGTGGTGCCCGAGGCGGTCCCATGCGCGGTGGCCGTGGTGGTGGCCGTGGTGGCCCCATGCGTGGTGGTCGCGGCGGCGCTCCCAGAGGACGCGGTGGCCCCCGCGGTGGTGGCTTCCGTGGTGGTGGCGGTGGTGGTTTCGGCGGTGGTTTCTCGAGGGGTGGTGGCAGAGGAGGTCCTCGTGGTGGAGGCTTCCGAGGACGGTAGACAGTCTCTGTCTTGCCTGGTAGTACTGTCTTCTTACGGCGTTATGGGAAACGGGAGCTTTTACAGGAATTTATTTGTCTCTATATTCTTGTGCATCCTAGGAAAAATTTGCTGGTTCTCTGTACGCAGAGGCTGTCGTGAATCTCAGCCATCCAATTCATGTATTGCTACGATCGATTATGCGAAATATTGTTCTTTCATTATTTGTTCCAGGTCTTCGAAGAAGCCGTAAAATGCTTATATGACTGGATGGCAAATGTGGCGCAGTAACTTTTTCAGCGATGGTCTAGAGTGGCTTGTGACCGCGTGTGGCGCATGGCAACACCGCCTTGCAATGACGTCTGGCCACGCTTGTGCCGTAGAATCTGTGCGCCTGTCAACACTTCTGAAGACAGCTGCCTAGTACCATTGCATCATTTCTTTCCTATCCTCGCGACCTGTCTTCGATTATATCCAACGTACGCCACTATTTCGACTGTTTGTCCTGCGAGGATCTTCTTTCCGTCAAATACACCTGAGCATGTCTCGCAGGGTTTCTGCCATGCCGTCAAATACTTCCACGACTAGCGGTGTCCCACCTGCGGGTGACGGTGGTGAGCCTGCATCCCTGCAACAATATCCTCAGAGTCTGGGAAGCTAAGTGATAGCAGGTCAAGAAAAGCAAAAGATGCTTCTCTCTTCCGAAACAGGTCATTTTAGCATGATCAGGTTAGCCATTGAGAGTCCTTTGCTAGGAATTCAACCGAACCGTTGCACTTACACATTTACGCACATCAGGGCTCTGCATCTTGCTGATCTGGTAACTGAACTCAATGGTAATAAACTAGATCCTTCCTCAGATCCGTCTACAGCCCGAATCAAAGGCATCAACTAACACCCATTACAGGATTCTGCGGAGGCAAGCACAAATTTTCTCCTTCCTTCGAGCCTGACGACCCGGGACTAACCACTCATACACAGTGATGTCCGTCTTTTCTTCGATGCGTTACTGTCTTGGTGACCCTCGTGATTTTGGTGCAATTTGGGCGGCTCTGATCTTCATGCCCTTCGGGCTGTTTTTCGATTTCATGGATGGACGGATTGCTAGGTGGAGGAAAAAGTCGTCGCTCATGGGACAAGAGCTTGATTCACTGGCCGATTTGGTACGGTCTCCCACTCCACTTGTCACAATATTCTTTTCACTCATTGTTCGCTTTCCGTGCTCTAGATTTCCTTCGGAATGGCACCCGCTGCCGCAGCTTTTGCGCTCGGAATGCGCACCAGCCTCGACCATTTGCTCCTCTCCTTCTTTGTTCTGTGCGGCCTGACACGCTTGGCACGGTTCAACGTGACTGTTGCTGTTCTGCCGAAAGACAAGTCTGGAAAGTCGAAGTACTTTGAGGGCACGCCCATCCCAACGACCTTGTCAATCACCTTTTTCCTGGCCTACTGCGTCTCTCAAGACTGGGTGCTGGATGATCTACCCCTCGGCCTTGTAGCCCAGGGCACAGCGTTCGAGTTCCACCCGCTGGTACTGTTGTTTGTCTTGCATGGATGTCTCATGGTCAGCAAAACGCTGCATATCCCTAAGCCTTAAGTGCATGGAAAGCCGAATGGACAATTAGGCACTTGTCCGGATCAGGATTCCCATATGTGATAGAGATGTTTTTTACCAGCAATATACACCAAGGGAGACCAGAAAACAGGGAAAGCAAAAATAGTATGGTGCGATGTATCTGTGGAAGATAACGCAGTTGTCACAGAAATGAAAATAATTTGCATATGTTGCATATGTTGCATAGTGTCTCGCACTTCATCTTCAGCAAGTATCGGGATTGGTATTGTTTACAGGAGGAGATTAACTTTCAGTTTATTGCAATGATGATATCATAAAGCTTTATATTATGGCGATCCTTGTTATGTCATTGTGCAGCACCTACGCAATACTTCGTGCTCTAGTTCTCAATAGCGAGCATATTCAAGAATCAGCCTGAAAAGTTAGGTGTGAAATAATCTATGTAATATTTTAGGCTGGTATGTATTGAAGGAACTATTAAGAGCAACAGGTGACATTGGACGTTCGCTTCGAACCAAGGCGATATTCAGATTCATGCAGGAGACGTCACAAGTACATCCGTAGACGTCGTCCACAGGGGGGAATATAACGGCCCAGCTTGCAATAAGCTCGTAAGTAGGAAATTGAACCCAAACGAAATGATCATCCACATCCGATTTTCATATAATCGATGTGTCATATCATTGACTCAATCATGCCACAGGACCTACCTTAAACGGAGCGAAGTCCAATGCACGCCGAGTCCAAAATCATGAGGAACAGTCCCCTCTCGTGTCGATAAGCAGATCAGGAACTAGACGATGGAGCCGATGGCCACTCAATCCCTCTATGGAGATTCTAGCCTTCTGAGTTACTCTACCGATTTCGAACTACTAATATTACAGAACACGATGTCTTAGAATTCCCTATTCCCTCAATGACTAGCTAGATATATGATCATCGACATCTCCTTCCAATTATTCCACTGAACATAAAAGAAAGCGAAAAAAGAAAAGAGATTGGAGTGAGTCACCAAGACCAACCCCACGCCATCCCCCGAGTCAGTTATGGTCACACACACACACACACACACACACACACACACATTCACTCACACTCAAGACCGAGTGAGACCCTGAGGTTAATGTTACCAGGTCAGGTCAGTTCCAGTCCCAATGATCCATCCTCGTGTCCCTCAGCCAGCCCGACCAGAAAATATCTACCGTGTAGAGCCGAAATTCTCTTCCTTGGCAAAGCAATAGAAAATCCTGCGCTATTGTCTCTTGCGCGTTCACGACTGGTCTATCATTGACGGAGCTTTTAAAAATGGAAACCCCGGGAGAGACATCGTGGATCCTGGTGACACGTTCTAGACCCTCGTCCAGGGTTTCACTTTGAGTTTGGGTCTCATTTCTTCTCTTCTACTTTTTCTACTGGGCCGCTTGACTCACTTGCTTGCTCGCTCGCTGGCTGGCTCACCGTCTCTGTCTAGAAGACTAGTACTGTCTTGGTCAGGTGGTCAGCCACTCGACAGATTCTAATTTGCGCGATCATGGGGAACAGCCGCGAAGACTTGCCGGAGTAGGTATCCGGACAGGCCGAGAAAAGCGTTAAGTGTGTGTGTGCGTATGTGTCTGTGTAGTGGATTCCCGGCAGTGCCGGTGATCTTCCCTTTGCCCTGTGGATGGATGGGGTTGTGGTGTTGATAGTTTCATTTTCTACAACAATATTCTCTTGGTCATTTACTACTAGTAGGTGGGAATTGGTCTTTGTTTTCCTTGCTTTTTTTTTTTTTTTTCCTTTTCTCAGCTCTTACCTTTATCCTTTGCCGGTTCATCCGTACTATTTTGGGAATTCTGACATAGGTGGATGGTGTTCTAGGTCGAGCTTTGCCAGTGCAAGCCAGAGCACGAAATCCTACAGCCATCGCAGCATAGACAAAACCACGATAGACACCCCGGAGAATGCTAAATTTCGGACATCCGCTACCAGGCCTGGCATGATGATGAAAACGGATAATAAGCTTATTCGGCATGTGAAGGGAGTGCTCCATACCTACTTCTAGAATTCCTTCCATGGGCCGCGGACACGGAACAGTTAATCGTGCATGTTTGTTCCATCTTCTAATACAACTTGTGGGTATGTAATTGGTGGCGATGATCCAGCATCTTCCTCCACACGCGCGCTCCAAAGAAGTAAAAGTAAACGCAACATGCACGATGTAACAGACATGTGTCTACTTCCTGTAGAATGGGCGGCAAAAAGTCGCCGGTTGTTTCCTATTGAACATAGTTCCCGACCGAGGAGTCGTCATCAGTCGCACTTCCCATTGCCTATCAATCAACCTCCTGCAACTGGAATCAGCCCATGACAATTCAGTAGCACCTAAAATTTTGTTTGTCGAGAAGCGCCGTGATTCTATTTCCTGCACAGAATCTGCAGATTTACGCGTCAATGGGGGAGAAGCGGAGAATCCTTGCGTAGAAAGGTGGTGTTTACACACACATACACACTTCTACATACAGAACTTTTTTACGGGGCGCAGGCTGCACTTCTGCAGGGGTTCCAAGGTCCCACAATCTGCCTAAGCAGCGCCGCCCACCGCACCCCGGAATCGACCCGACCGTCTTGAACCATCGGAACCATTCCTGTTGCAGGTTTGGCAATGATGCAAGAGGATCTCCCTCGACCGAAACAGTGATGTGGCAAATGAAGCTCTGATACGTATAGTAAGTTAGTCTGGCAGAAGTTGAATCGCTACCCACTAGTGACTGCTTCAACGGTAAAGCCAAGCACGAGGAAAGTCGAACTCTTTTCTGACTCGAAAGAGAAGAGGGCCCGCCGGTCGCTAACTACCAACTAACTAACAAACTGGAGCACTCGAGTCCGTGACGGCGTGCATAGCTCCCCCTAAGCATCAACATCCCATTGGGCAGACCATGCGGATCAAGGATCAAAAAGGATTAGTTTGGATTCTCTCAGCGTCTGTTGGAATTGCGATGGCCCCGGAGTTTGGGCGGTTAATTGACTCCCCTGACCAGTGACATCCTCCGCCGTTCGTCCTCAATGTGTGCCGGCTCAAAAGTTTGGGGGGGGAAGACTACTGACGGGTGTTTGATGCTACTAGATACGTAGTTGGTTTACGCTCTTAGGTCTCGATATGGATGGCGCAACGAATTAGAGACCAAAAGCATTATTGACGCCAGAACCAATTCCATTGCCTAAAGGTTGGGTCCGGAAATCTCCTTACAAGTGGGCAGGGAAACTTCGCGCTGCCCGTCATGCAGTCATGCAAGGACTGCTACGAATAAGACCTGGTACAACTCATCATCATTAGTCAGTCAGATTTGAAAAAGTCCATCGTGGAGCAGCGGTTTCTATCGACATTCAATGGCTGGTGCCAGCACCCGAGCAGCAGCATTGTTACTGGTGAGGGTAGACGGGCGAGTTTGCGCGAGGCTTGTGTCCTCCTCGTACAGAAGAGGGCATCAGTGCCCGAGTTCGTACCGAGGATCTTTACTATTTATAAACCTCTTTCCGGGCAAAATTCGATTTGCTTCTTCCAATTCTGGTCGTTTTCGGTTTCTTTATGTTTTTGAGTTGGGTACGTACTTGTCTTGCCGGTGGTGCCGAATAATGATGGTAAGGGACAGACATAATTCCATTAGGGAACTTGCATGGAATGTAGAAGTAGCCATATGGAGTTTACATGAGGGCGAAGGAGAGTATCCTCGCCAACTAGATCAGAAGATGCTGGTATGTGCCTATGAATCGCACATTTCATGCCTTTCGAGTTCCGACCGCGGCATCAGACGGAAGGAATAAAGTATGTTATGGAGCAGAGAAGGGCGAGTTCCCCCCAAAAACGCCTGAGCATGTGCCTTTTCCGCCCATTCCCCTCTTTGTATGGGAGAAATATACAGCGCCGCCACCAGTCATCACGCCCGCCCACCCCATGACCGAGTGGATGGGGATGATTTTAGTGCATGCCAGCAGCAGCTCCAATTGTTATTGTGCCGCCCCGTGTGGCCCGAAAAGGAAAGGGATGAGCCCTGCCCCTGGACGGGTCTGCTGATGTAATATGATATAAGGAAGATGATTGGATCACAGCGACAGGTACGCGGGACGTGGTAAATTACCGCCCTGCGCATCCAGGGTCAGGTCCCGTCGGGGAACCACCAACAAGAGAACCGCGTCTGGAATCACGCACTGCTATTGGGGGAGAAGGCAGGGAATGATGGGAATGATGCTCCTCCCTCACGCTTTTGTTTGTCCCTTTTTTTTCGGCCGTCCAGTAGGGGAAACTTTAGTACGGGCGAACTTAGCACACTCACTAACTAACGAGCTGCCGCTGCTGCTGCAGAACAGACAGACAGACAGACAGACAGACAGGCACACAGGGCGCTTTCCTCACACACAACCACCCCCCCTCCCCTCCCTTCTCCTCCCTCTTGTCTCTGACCTCCCCCTACTACTACACAGTAGTACTAGTAACTACGCCTCCTCCTCCTCCTCCTCCTCCTCCTCCTCTCCTGCCTGGGCTAGTCTCCCGTCAGTGCGTCGCTTAATGCCTTCCCAGTCCAGTTCTCCGCCTATGCAGTAGTCACCCTGTGTGTCCCAGGAAGGAGTCTGTCAATCGTTCTGTCGCTTTCCCCTTCCCTGACCCTCTTTTCTCCCTCCTGCTTCAACTCAGTCGCTCTTTTTGGCCTTCTTTTAGGACATTATTGTTTTTGTGAATTTTTATTCCTATTTTCATTTGGATTTTCATTTTTCCAACTCTTCATACTCTCGCTTCTTCAGAACTGTTTTGGCCCAGGTCGAGCTTCTATTATCTGGAATCCCGATCTCTCTCTCTCTCAAGGGCCGTAATAGAAACTGCTACTTCCTCGTTATTACTTTCCTCTCTCTCTCTGGCCCCCCCTGTTGCTGCGGGTGCGATTTTAACCTTGGCTGATTTCCCTTCCTGAACCGTCCGTTCAGGCTCGCTCATTAAACTCTTTCCGACAGAAAGGGGTGCTTGAAACGACCGGTCCAAAGGGCCCTTCCCCGCTAGGGACCGCCTACCCCCAGGGCAGACACCACGCTCTTTCATCACTATCTTCACTCTAATCTTCACCTACCACCATCCTCTGACCCTCTGCTGTCGGTCTATACCCGACCTGATCTCCACGTCAAGGCCTGGTCCCATCTACGTCACTTATCCTCAGCGTCGGCCCTTGCAACCCATTCGTGCTCTTCACTTCCCGGAGGACCGTCGCGACACGTCCAGCTCGAGGACCTAGGAGAGAGAAAGACGACCAGGACTATCAATTTTCAAGTGGCTCTGAGAGGTTCAAAGGGTTACGCAGGTCGTCCCTTATTCTTCAATCAACCTCCCTGGCTGTTTCTTTGAGGTCACTTCTCGCCAAACTCAACCAACCAAACCTTACCCCTTGGGATCATTTCTTACGTCGACCATGTTCCATACCACGAAATCATTCACGATGCGGTCGGCTCTCGCTGCCTCAGCCCTTCTCCTGTCCATCAGTCTGCCTGCAACACATGCCTATACCGAGGAATACAATGGCTGTTACTCCGACTCGACACCACTGAAAGATCAGGGAACATATACATATCAGAGTGATGGGTACTGTCAAAAGCTGTGTTTGAAGGACAACTACTCAGTCTTTGCCTTGCATAACGGACAGGACTGTCTCTGTGGTAACCTGCTACCTGCCTCGTCAGCAAAGGTTGATGACAGCAAGTGTAATGTCGCATGTGCCGGCTGGCCTTCTGTGGAATGTATGTTCTCCTGGTATGAATCTTCCGTGGCGCGTTTGCTGACGGTGACAACATAGGTGGTGGCAGCAATACTTATTCCGTCTATCTTACGGGCATTGAGAACGACGTTGACCATTATTCGGCCTCGAGCACAAGTACCTCGACCACCGACAGCGAAACGTCTACATCATCAACCCAAGAAGCCCATGTCGTCACTAGCTCTGGCACCACGCAAACCGTGTATGCAACGTCCGGAACCGAAGCGAGCGCGTCTGCAACTGCCGAGGGTGCTACTGAAGCGTCACAGAAGAAGAGCTCGAGTGCCAACACTGCTGCCATTGCGGCGGGCGTCGTCGTGGGTGTAGTGGGAGCCTGTGCTCTTGCTGGCGCTGGCTTCTTCCTGTGGCGCTTCAAGAACCGCAAGTCGCAATACCGTCGTAGTGTTGGTGTGGACAACTATGGCAACCCGATGTCCCAGCACTCCATGTCGGATTCCCGTTTCGATGGAGACTTTATGGCCCAGCGCCGTCAGAGCAATGGCAGCATCGATGACGATCAAGACTTCTCGCGTCGCATCCTGCAGGTGAGCTTAGCTGAACGATGAATGAGGATAGAGGACTTGAGCTAACGAAGTACTAGGTGACCAACCCCGATCGACGCTAGAAGGGATGCGATCGCCAGCTTCCCATGGACAGTGCCGTTTGTGGACCAACATCCTATCTGTGCATGTCTTTTAACGATAGAGCCATGCCCTGCCACATATTTACTTCCTACCCTACACAACCTTCGCTTGTCACCATAAATTCACCCTTCACGACAGCTATCCTTGCTCTCTTTTTCTTTATTCCTGCTGGACTATTCGGCGACCTTGCAATATCAGTGCATGTCTGCAGATAGGATATGATGACCCCTTCAGCCACTGGCTATGAAAAGCACGTCCGTTCTATAGGTGTGGTATGATGCCGCCCGTGGCGGATAGCAACCTTCCAGGATCGTTGTTATTGAGAGAGCCGACCGTGACTCTTACTTTGGTGGAGGCTTGGGTCTCCTCAGGAAAACCCCCAAGTCACTGTCGCCATTGATGGTTACATCACCGACCAAGTGTTCTCTTTTTCATCACAAGGGCTTCTCAAGGTCAAGACTCTACGAGTCGGGCTGAGGTGTATCAGTCCAGGATCTCATATTATTTGATAAGGCGTTTGAAGTGGGCTGTATTTTAGTCGATTACCCTCGTGGACAGCATTTATTCTCCCAAATTTTTTGTTATTGAGCCGAGAACCCCCCAACTGTTCTATTTATGCGATGTTTGTTTCTATGGCGGTTGGCCGCGCGTGCTTGCCATGGGTACTACATAGAGTAGCCTTGGCTGGAAGATTGTAAGTAATGTGACGGACAGCCCTGTAGCTAATGTGAGGATGAATGTATACCATGTGCTTCTTGATGTTTTGATACAAGTCAATCATCTTGTAGCTGTGTATGGATCTTTTTTAAGCATCGACCCACATGTCTTGATGCAGTACATCCAGATTTTGAACATCAAGATGATGAACAGAGGTATTATTTTCCAACGAAGATGGATATAAGCATATTTGCTCCAGATATATTTATATTTATAGCCTCGCCAATCGTATATTACTGGTACGTGTTGTAGTATTGATATGTCCTTATAACGAATCACTATCCGGGCACTACTACATGACAATATATATATATATATATATATCTGCACCTCCACCAGAGTAGTAGTTAGTGCACTACTCACCACAAAAAATGAATCCGAATCCCTACATCACGCACAGGCGCTCAAAATTGGCCAAACAAGTCAATCTTTAACAACCATCCAGACAACTATCATACTATTCCACCACCCTTAGCATCTGTGAATCGACGCAACACGAATTGATCTAGTATTAGTAATTCATATAGAAGTCTCCTTTTGCTAATCCCAGCTACTCTTGAGTGCTCAATGGGTACATAGTACTACCTAAGCATCATTCAGCTGATAGATTCTCTCGATCTACCAACTAATATAAACTAACCGGTAAGAAATATATAAATTTCCAAGCCACGATAGATTCAAAGTTCATCGCAGATCTGTACTAGTATTATACCACCAGGGTAGAAATGCAAGATATCCGACTAGCAACTAAGTAAGACAAGCAGTCACTAACAACAGCATATCGTGATCATATATTAATATTCTTTTCGAAGACGCCTTAGTTCACTGTCTATTGTAGGATATTCATATGGGATAGATATATTTGTAGTATATATCACGCCAGTCAGTTTCTTTCAACATAAGTATTATCGTTGATTCTTTCATTTACTAGTGTTTTTTTTTGGGAAATTGGGATTAGAGTGGAATTATAGAGTGCAGCTTTTGGTTATTGTTGGTGAATTCCTTTTTTTATTTGGAGGTGTGACTACTAATTAGTTGCTTTTGTTTATAGAGTGACTTTTATATATATGTCGGGGTATATACTACTAGCATTGCTGATTGGGACGACTTGTGAGTAGAGTATTTATATATATTTATGGTTGGAAATATTGACATCTCCCAGTCAACTAACACTACTATCATGGAGTTCTGCCACCCGAATGGACATACTATTCTGGAGGAGAGTAAAAAAGACTGGATAATGGCTGAAAACCTCTCGATGGGAGCATGATGTATGATGAGCTGGTGAGTACTACGTTGTTTGAAGAGTTTATTATCTACGCTGGAGGCTGACAGGGAAAGACTGATATTGGAAGAGAGAGGAACAGGAACAAGCGATGAATTTCAAATCATGTAGTAGATAGGTAGGGAGTATGTAACATGCATTCTTGTCCACGAGGCATGGTGTCTTTTCAACACACAAGATATTAAGCACTGCTTGTGGAGAACAATGGTTGAGTACGTCACTCACTAGAGGGGGAACAAAGAGCCGACCAACAGGAATGCGCGGTCCCGAGTTCTTGGAATGCGGAGAGAGGCAGTCAGTTCCGCAACCAAGTTTGGTAGCATTTCTTTGTCTGTTTGCTCTTGGACTCAGCAACTACTTCTTCACTGCAATTTACCTCGAAGACCTGCGCATGGTCTCTTGACAAGCGACAACGCACGTGGTGTGGGTATATTCCTTGTCTCTATACTTTCATCTGCACATACGTATATCGAAAGGAGACGGGTAAGGTCTACGGCAGACATGTCTCGCAGGAAGGACCCGAACACGAAAGGGGATGTCGATGTCGCTCTGCAGCAACCCCTGAACGAGTCGGAGTCGGAGCCGGACCGGGCACCGAAGAAATCGAGACTAGATTTCAGCTCCAACGATGGCGGTGATAAGCGAAATGGTCTGGACCAGTTCATGGCCTATCCTATCCACAAGGTCAACCGACTCCTGGAGCCTGGGCCCATCCTGCTTGTGGCGACCGGCTCCTTAGCCAACAAGACGCACAACATAATGACAATGGGCTTTCATATGATGATCCAGCACGAAGGACCAACACTTGTCGGTGCTTGCATTGGGCCGTGGGACAAGAGCTATGATAATCTGAAGAAGACGGGCGAATGCGTGCTCGCCATTCCTGCGGTGGAGATGTTGGAGCAGACCGTTGATATCGGCAACTGCAGTGGAGAAGATGTCAATAAATGGGTGTCTTTTGGAATAAACCCCGTCCCAGCTCCTGATCCTGCATCTGCAGATGAGTCTTGGGGTAGAAAAGGGGGAGAGAAAGCGAGAGCACGGGCGCCTTTGGTTGGAGGGAAGGATGTTATTGCCAACATTCAATGTATGGTTGAGGACCGAGCGTTGGTGGCAAAGTACAATCTATGGGTGCTGAAGGTGACTGGAGCATGGATCAATAAAGACATGGATCTAGAGTATGGCCAGGGAAGCAGAGACCCAGCAGATGATGACGATCGTGTTGGTGGTGGCAAACGAAGGAAGAGGGAAATGAAGATGGCTCACCACCGCGGAGATGGCCGGTTCGTGGTTGACGGAAAGGAAGTCGACATGAGAGTCAGGATGGTCAAATGGAAAGAGTTCCAGGATTAGACTCGTCAGGGGCAAGATCTGTTGGAATCCACTCATCGATGACCTGCAGCTGAATGTAACAGGATTGCAGTATGCTGTTTCGTCTCATACATGGTATGCGCACAACTCTGCCATTATTTTAATGAGCAGATGGTAGGGTGCAGAGGTACTGAGACAACCGTGACAGAAGGCCTTGCTTAGTGCATCTTACTCTGCACAGCTGACATTTCTGCCCTGTTGATAGTGTCATGCTTAAATTGCGATTGCAGGATCTGTGAACGAGTCAGCGGCGAACGCCAACCCAACATGTTGGTTCCGGTTGGTGCCTGTTGGTGGCTGTTCCTGCTACGTTGCCTGCATAGAACTTGGTTGCAAAGTGGAGGAATACAGGTAATCCATGTGGAGGAGTATCGGTATCTCAGCAGAAGTAAAAAGGTTAGGGACCATACTGGCATGTTACTGTCGAATGAGGGCATTGATACACATGCGGGAGTCACCGTACTAGTTTGAACAGAGCTCTTCTTTTCGCGTCAAAGAGATTATCTGGAATCTTCTAGGGGCAAGGATGCCTCGTGGCAAGTGACCCCGCTATCTTGCGATCCCTGCCGGTATCGAAGTACTGCATGATCGCCGTCGTGCTCACCAGGGGGTGGTGCTCCGCAGCCAGCACACGTGTGGATGGATGAAACACTCCTGAGTGCCATGCAGAAGACTGGATCCATGTCGGGACGCCCGGCATATTAGTCCGGGCGCAATTAATTTGTTCTGCGCACATCATTAGTCGTCGGATAAAAGCCATTGTCTGAAGGATTCCTTAGATCCTTTGAACTAGTGCTCCCTCGCTAGCAGGGTATTCGTTCCTTCGAGGTTTAGTCCGTGATGGAAAAGGGCGGTGCAGAGCTGCTGGGGAGGGACGATTCTGCTAGCTTGGTCTGGTAAGGTGACTCTTCACAGGCTGGTTGTCGGATCAGGCCCTTGATGGTTCAGAGGGAGCAGGGGTATCTGGGGACCCTGGGCACGATGGTTCAAGCTGACGCGCCAGGGTCATTCCCAACTGCTCGAAGACATGCAAGCCCTGCAAGTCGCGGCTCGCAAACCCATTGACACTTTAGGATACTATAGCGATCCGCAGTAGGCCGGATGTGGCAGGAGTGAGATCAGACCATGTGGATATCAACCATTTCAGAGCGCATGGCACCCCTGTCAAGGCGCGAAGTAACAGGCCTCGTGGCTCTGTGACCTGTAACAATAGTACAGACTAGGTTGCAGTAGGTTGCAAACTAGAAGCTGCATGAAGATGTACCTCTCCCAAAGTAGTATCCAACGTAAACCGTAGGCTGACGTGTGGAATGTTCGACGCAGCACGGAAACTGCATCTTCACCAATAGCCGCTAGAAGGGTTGGACGGCCGATCACACTTTCCTGGTCTTCAGGTGACTAGATTACACCGTGTCGAGCTCAGCGTCGGTCATCATTCGCTACTAGGGCTCGTGCTAGCAGGGGGCCATGCTGACAGGGGCTACTATGACAGGGAGACGTTATTTTCCGGTATTGGGATTAGCTTGTGTCTATTATACGTTATCAGCGAAATGCTCTGGAAATAATGGAACACACGGAAAAGTACACAAACTATATCTTGGTTACACACTGGAAGAATCCGAATAACTAATCTGACCAGTGAACTTTCTTCGATCAAGAATAGATTAGGACTTGATATTGATGCTCGTGCAACTGTGGTTGCTTGTGTGGAACAGACACCGGAAGGGCCGTTCCGCTCTTTGACAAGCCCAACTGGCCTAAGTTCTTCTGGCCAACACATACGGCGAGTGCGGTGTCGATCGCAGACATCTTCGGCCTACGTGCCCTGTCGGGTTTTCCGGTCCTCAGCACCTTCGATGTGGAACTGATGAGGCTGATTCGCCTGTCCGTGTAGCGGAGGGTGAGGTCTATGGGGGGGGACAACCAAGCCACTTAGATAGACGAACTCGAAAACGCTGCTTGGCGGTGGGTAGTAGACAGCCTCTTAAAATCTCTTGTTAGGACGCGAATAATATGGCGGGTATTCCGTCGCGGCGTAGCCCGTCTACTCATCTAATGCTAATTAGTCAAGGAAATCTTAGTGGCTACACCATGCGTAGCGCCGTAGTGTCTTGGCTGGCTAGGGAGCCGTCCCCTGGTCCCTCAAGCTTAGCCTCAGAGAACGGGCTCAAGCGACTTATTTAGTGCAACGTACAGCGTGCTCCAATTTGCTGTTGCTAGCTTCCTAGGAGGTTAGTTGCAGCGCTTCGAAGGTTAGTGAGCGCGCCGGTCTTATCTGATGATAACACGCTCGAGCAGCGGGATGATTCCGTCCAACTCTCGACAAGAACCCGCCCAGTGCCCACAATAACATACCCCAAGTGTGGGCTGTTCAAGATTGGGTCATAGGCAAGCTCTCCACTTCGACGAATCAGGGAGGTGGCGGAGTTATAGTATTGTGATTTTTTGTCGTAGGTGTGTAATCTGGTCGAAGATTTTGTTGCATATCACAGTGTCTTTCTGGAGGCTAAAGGCGTGGAAGCCATCCGACAGTATACCGCAAATGGGAAGCCTGCAGCCGTCATCGATTACCCCTTTTAGTAGAAAAGGAGATTATCTGCAAGGAGGTATGCAGACTTATGTCTCGGGCACAGTTGAACAGACTAAACTGTCCACACTGGACCGGACCGGAACTGCGCTCGGGCTCAGATCGTCCGACGGGGATACTGAAGGTTGTGAAGACCAAATTTCCCTGTTTGTTCGAGCGGGTCCAAAGTTGGATGGGATTACCTAAGGCAGGTGTCTTGACTCTTGACAGCCTCAGGCAAGGCTGATTCGGGTTCGGATTCGACACCTGATCTATCACCTACTGATAATTTTGATGATGGCGCAGGCAAAGTCTAAACCCAAAACTGGAATAATCATCGATGATCTTCTTGAAGTTCACAGCAATCACAGTGCATGTTTCATGTGCTAGGTACACAACAGGCCTTTTCCACAGGTTTTGCGAGTCGAGATGAGGTAAGCTGATCATGTTTGTCATGCCACCCTTTCCCCCCCCCTAGCTCCCATATCTTAGGGGAGGGTAAGAGGTTTCGAATAGATGAAAGTGATGACCATCTCGCGTGGTACAGAGTTCACCAAACCCTCGGGGTGCGGATCATCAGATCCTACCTCGATGTCATCGATACCTTTGTGTTCATAGTCGATCCTCTCATAAGCTTCCTGAATTCTAAGGCTTTGCGAGGGAACCTTTAGACTGCGGGATCACGTTCCCGCTTTTGTGGCTCCAAACTGTAAATCCTCCAGATGGCCTTTTCCTTCCATGGAATCTTGCTAGTTGCTACATCCTCCGGGAGTCTGGAGGGGGGGTTCGGACTATGACTAGCCTCCGGAGACCGGAGTGCAGTGTCCCCTCATTCCAAAGACGATCCAGATTCTGCTGTCCTCGAGCCGGACCGGGGCAGATTCTGGCTCCGGCGGCCATAATCCACCGACGGATTCCACTTTTTGCCGAGCGTCCGACGAACTTTACCTGATCAGTATAGTAACTCGTTCGGGCAAGGGATATGGATAAGCAACGGGCTGTGAACCTGTGGGTTGTCATGGAAGCGTTTCAGAATCATCAGCAACAAGGGCAGTTTTTTTTCCGACGACGCAATGATGACTGCAGAAGCTATCGTCACTCTGCATGGTTAGTGCAGTCTGGCATCGAACATACTTCACACGGCATTCCTCGCGAGATGACCGCAGCGCCCGGCGTTGCGCTAGACATTGTACTTTACCACTTAGACAGACCTTAGGTCTTCGATGCTTGCTTCTCTGCTCCAGGGTTGCATCTCGTAGCGGGCTCCTTAGATGACCAGTCGGCCAATAAATTCCTGGACTGACGGTTAGGATGCTGATCATGTTCCGTTACAGGCTAGTTCATATGTCGTTTTGGAGGGGGTGGTGGAGGAGGAGGCAATTGGCACATGACAGCTCTCGATCGTCTAGTACCGATCAAGAATCACGTAGGCTACTAGATTGAGTATGTTGTCAGTATAACCACAAAGTGGTACGCATGCACTACTATAACATAACAAGACTGGAGGCCTTCTGCATCACCATTGGTCTGTTCGTATAGAAGATCTGTGGGTGGATACTCTATAGTACCGTCGAGTTATTCACTCCATCTCCTAACATACCAGTCGTTATTGACCCTGTTCTGCCGCCTCGAGCCATCATGGTAGCACAAGCCGCCGGTGGGCAGGGGGCCAGTCCAGGGCTGCTAACCCAGTGGTTCCTCCTTCCTTCCCCACATCTCGACCACGTTGTCGACTCCTAGCTTACCCTCGTGGCATGAGAGGTCGGGCCATGCCATCAGGGACGGCGTATTCCGTGCTAGACTTCGTATCCTTGCTATCATCATTTGTCTCGATCGCGTCCCATCAATTTGTATGCCGTATACACAGGCGTATCCGACGGCATAGATGAGGCAGAAATTGCCTTTTCTAGTCTTCGTGACTTGTCCAGAGAATCTTTTTTCATACGTACTACTCCATGAGCTAGCTGTCTCAAGTATCAGCAGAGAATATTTCAGAAAAAAATTCGGGCAAAGATTCTTAGGTGCAATGAGAGCCAATGAAGCCAAGCCGATTATCATGGCTGGTACTCCAATGGACTACACAAACATTGTCTTGTCCTAGTGAGAAGAGGTGGGAGAATTGATCACCCTGTACGGATCCTGAATGGTTGCTGCTATTGCCCGGCTCGTCATCATTCTGTGAGGGATCACAATCCTAGCATGGGGGCCCCGCCACGTGAAGGCCCGAGAGCCAATATGGGCTGCGGGCGGCCTTGGTGTCATGGCGATGCATGATGGACCTGGTGTCTAGGCCTGAGGCACAGGTTGGCCATCAAGTCTGCAGTAGCTAAGCCGCCTCCTGCATTTTAATTAGTTGCTACTATTAGTTGCTTGACGAATATCCACGGGACCCGCTCTCCTATACAGGACCACCAGCAAATTTCTCCGATTTGGCACGTTGCAGCCCCTCCATCAGAATCGAGGGGTTTCAGCTTCATAGTCTGCCCTCACTGTTCCCATGCCTATGACAAGCGGTGAGCTCTAAATTTTGTACGATATCGTTTAATTTGTATTTATTTCAGCAGTATACTGAGTCGGAGATGACTTGAAATCATGCTAAAGTATACGACCCGCTTCTGTTGAAGTTCGTTGAATTGTGTTGTCATGTATCACCCAGTTGGAGTCTGTCGGGGAAGTATGCCACCCCTGCTTAGGGTAGTTTCCCGAAGAAACCCGCTTATCAAGGGAGCGAGCTTCTCCTATAATGAGAATCAGACCATGCTGTCGATCCCTGACACATGGCCACCAGGATAGTCCGTGGCTTAATATCAGGCCTGCCATCTGTCATTCATATTAAACACCCTCTAATAATCGGTGTTATTAATGACAGGAATGGCTGCTAAATTGTGACGGGTAATTTCGGCATGGATCTGCCTCTATGCCGAATCGAGTCGCACCTACTCTTAACGGAGACCCAGCCACAACTCCATTGACGGAACGGGAGTGCCGCGAGTCCGCAACCTTCGTCTCCGATGGGGACGAGAATGAGTGACCCAGGTGTGTATTACATATGTTACTCGTCTGTGGGCTGGATTCTTTATCGCAGGGTTTACTGCATTCGCTGCTTCGCATTCTATACCAAAAAGGGTATCTGCCTCGCTGATGAGATCACCATTTCGAAACTTGAACTAGAACAACTTAATGCTTATTCACTTTTCTGCCCCTCGAAGTGTAAGGCAGACTGCAGTTCGAAGCACATTGATCCACGACCTGAAACAAGCTAGAAGCCCATGTGAAGTCAGAATGACCATGGCCCCCATGTTTTCTGGGACCTCTACCTCCTGGAAGGATGCACGAAGCGAAAACATTCTTGTTCCACAGGGCTGGGCATTTGTGTACCTAGCATAGACTAACCGTGTTTGGATTTTCAGTAAGGAGGCCTGAGGTAGCATCATCCCAAGGCTCCCTTGCTCGGTAGAGCCGCTACGGAATGCTTCTGTGATAGCAGCGCTATGGACGGCCTAAGCATCTAACCAATACCTTTGTGTAAGGGGAATGACCCGTGTTTGTTACACGAGTGGGTCTCCAACACACTGATTTCCCAGTTAGGCCATTTCATCTACAGCACCACTCAGCTCCGTTCATCACATCGCTACCACAACAAATTGCCTGCTCTCTGAACCTAGTTAACGACCAACACAGCTTTCCAACATTGCTCCAGGCCTCTGATTGTTCGTGTCTTGCCTGAGTAGTAAGAGTTTGCCCCTGAAAAAGCTGGTTCCTGATGGTGGTCATGGTAAGGATGTAGAGTGCTTATCTCGGCTATTCCTTTCATCCTCCTTTCTCTAGATACTCCGTCGTCGTCTTCTTCATCTGCTGGTGCTAAGGCTTCCTTCCGTTGTCTGCAGAGAATCCAGGGATCCTGAGAAAGACCGATGCTCGGTCACGTGGAATTCAGGGTAATGCACTTTACAGACTATCAGTATCCATGAAACATTACTTGGCAGGCAGACTCGGACTGGCCGGCTAAAACCCGGCGGACTTGACGATCGCCAACGGAGGGGGGTAGCCTTAAGACTACCTAATACAGCAACAACCCTGCCATCGCACGTGGGTAATAAAACAATTCTTACTACTTTGTACTACTGAGGACCGGGCGCTATGTGAGACCATGGAATAGCGCGCACGTCACTACTAGACTACTGGTAGATTGCAATTTGCAACACCTCGTTTGGAATAGTAGCGGAAAAAAAAAATGAAAAAGTCAGCAGATACCGGAAAGCCATCTGGCCCCATACAGATAAGACGAACAACTCTCTCTCTCTCTCTCTCTCTCCACAGCGCTAGAAGAGGCTCGATCGATTGTCCATGCTATGACAGTGGACACTTGACGGGGTCGCTTGAGGGGAGTCACTCCCGTTAAGGAAACAGTATAGACCATCTCAGGCTAGCGGGGCGCCGTTAAGAGGCTTTGCTGCTCGCCAGACGGTCGAGGAAATGAACAAGGCTAACCGTGACAATAAATGATCTTACTCGAATACACAGGGTCGCGTCAGTTCGCAGAATATTGGACCAATAGTAAGATTGACTGATGCTGCAGATGAGTTATTATTAGGCACTCGTGCTTCACATATGGTTTCCTGCAGTTGGAATCTTGATACAGCCGAATTTCTTATTCTGACATTGCATTTGTCGACAAGTGGCCCGGGCGGTTATCTATCGGGCAAGCAAGCAAATATCCTGGAAACCGTGTGGTGGTGTGTGCCGCAGTACCACCGACTGAATGAACCCTATTGCTCTCGCCCGGATGTCAATTGACAATTTCAAATGGCTCACAGTGGGTCGCCCCACTTGGTCCACGTTTAGCTTGAATGGAACTTTGGCCAGTGTGGCCCGTGGAGTACGGAATAGCCCGATCTTATAAGCCTTTTCCTCTTTAGCTTAAGGACCTTGCCTAGCTCCCTGAGTTTGGCAGCCCGTCTCCAAAAGTGGACCACCAAATGGAGAGTGCTTGAGGCTTTGATGAAAGCCTGAGGAGCGACACCGGGGTTGGCTGGGTGGGCTATCCTGGTCAGTCAAGTCTCTGCCCACTACTTTAGCCTGCTTAAGTCTGGAGTTGGTTCGAAAATTAGAGGGCAACAGACCTGGCCAGAATGCATTCGTCCTCCATTGGCATAGACGAGCCCCCCAATCATGAGGCTCAGACAGCCAACAAGTTCCCCAATTTTGTGCAGTAATGGTGTTCGACCTTCAGGCTCTGCATGATGTTTTCTCCTTATCAACAATATCCACACCCAGTATCATCTACCCCATAGTACTTACTATCCTTGGTCTCTGATAGACAGACACCCCTGCACAATCCTCTCATCTCACCTCCACCATGTCAGCAAATTAATATAAGACTAGTAATAGTAGCACTGCAGCAGGGGTGAACATAGTCAAGGGGAAGGGGAAGCCATGTGGTTGGCGGTCTTGGCCTGCCAACCTGATGATGCCATCTGTTTGGGCAGTATAGGAGTAGATAGTATAGGTGGGAGAAAGGTAGCCACCACATTCTACACCTACACTGGGCTGCTACGGACCACAACGGCCATCACCCGAACCCATCAGCACACTCCGTAGTGTATGACTCGTATCTTCATAGCTAACGGGATCGACTGGGATCGAATCCTGAGCCATGTGCACAGGGTATTGTTGCCCAGAAGTGGGGTACCCCTTTCTTCCCCCCTCTTTTTTCTCCATATTCGTCTCCGTGATCCCGTCCGTCACCTTCCTCCTTCGCACGAGGAGTATGAAGAGTCCGGTTCCGCTAATTAATTTGATTTTTTTTTTCTTTTAATGAGAGTGTGTGCTTCTGGCTGGGTTACCCGAAAAGCCTAACCTTCCCTTTTCTGATTCTCTCGTGCCGGCCGGGACTGGAGATCTGGAAAACCATGGCTCAGCTTACTATGCAGTGGAGTCTTGTAGAAAACCAACAACAAACGGAGCCGTTGAAGTATGATTATTCGATCAGTCAGTCAAACTGGAATTATACGAACGAGGTAGGTCAGATGTTGTAATTTTTCTCTTGCTTTTAGTTTTTCACTATTGTTATTTTTTTTATCCTAATTCCCTGCCGTAAAAAAACCCGATGGGTACAGGACGGGTTCTTCTTCACTCCATCTGCAGTGCGCCTCAGCCGCAACACCACCTGGACTGCTGGTAGCACGGTGTTGCTTGAAGAGGGAACTTGAAGGGATGTTGGCCCCATGGCGCCTGTCATTTGCCCGTTCGACCAACGAGGCCCACAATAACGATGGATTAGACCAAGCCAAAAGAGGGAAACCCATCGTTCCTGCCAAGTGAGTATGACAAAAACGCCCTGCCGTCTTTTCTTTTCTTTTCTTTTTTTTTTTTTTACCTTCTCCATTTTTTTCCATTTGGTCTTGTCTGACTGTTTATTTTATTTTATTTCTTACCTTCCTTACTGGATCAATTAAATTGATCCGTAAATAATCCTGATCGGGAAAGAGATGACAGGATTCCACTTTTCAATTCCCACTTTTCTTGTAAGTAGACTGGATACATCGGTTAGCCTCGCTGGGGAGAGCGGATTCACAGTTCCGTCTCCATCTGACCTGGTGGTAGTGAAAGTAGTTCAAGTCTAACATAGCCATGGTAGCAGTGCTAGTCCTGAGTGGTTGCTTGCTGTGATCACCCTACAAACTGATCATCAAACTGCAGTGCACTGGCTCTCGCTTACCTGCCTTAGGTACATTTCTCTCCCTTGGTGCAGAGCCTGAAGGAGATTGGACGATAATTGCAGTGTCGTATTTATTTTTATCTCTGATTATTATTATTCTTATTATTATTAGTCTCACGGTTATTTTCATGATTTTTTATTTTCCTTATTACCATAACAATACATTGTGATTTTAATTTAATTTAATTTTTTTATTTACTATTTGGTTACTATGCTTCCAAATCATTTCCCACCTTCGCTTTCCCCGGCGATCGCTCGGGAAGGACTAAGAAATACCAACTAGATAGAGTAACTGGGTGGTAGTAGTAGTGGTTCACCCAGGTCTAGCCTCATCGAGTGGTGCTTTCTATATCACTTTTTCTTCGCTCACTCCAGACTACCCACCCTGACAGCCTCTCCGCCACCATTCCGCCCGTTTCAGATCGTCACTTTACTTCTTCTTCTTCTTCTTTTTTTCCCCATCTTAATCTCACTGCCCCAATCCGGCCTGCAGATGCGAGGCATTTTTCCTGCCTCATCCGTTCTGATCTCACCCTGGTCTGTTCCCCAATTCTGCTAGTATAGCTGCATCACAGCCCACCTCCCACTTTAACCCCCAATCTCCACACTACCACATGTCTATCCCGTTCCTGACAAGTTCTGGGTCTGTTACAGAATGATCAGGGGATAGCCTCCTCCAGGAACCAAATCCTATATCTTCCGCTCACTCGCCAATCTAAATCCCGTCTATCCTCACTCCATCACAACCAACTCTATAAGATCAAAGCATCTTCCTGCCTCTTCATCCTTCAAACTCCAACAACTCAAACTTCAAACAACTTCAACTACTACCAATCCTACTCCTGCTACAACAACAACAACAACAACCACCACCACCACCAATACCTTTTAAAACACCATCAATCACACCAAGCAGAAAGACGAAACTTTAACAATGCGTCGAAGCACTACTCAATCGGAGATCCCTCTCCCTATCACCTACACCCCAACTACGCATCGCATCAGCAAAGCGAAGAAGGGAAAGCGTGTGCATGCTTGCGAGTACCCGGGCTGCAACAAGGTTAGTACCATGAGAATGCTGTCGCACAGACTTGGCAACAAGCTGACCCTTCAATTCAGGTCTTCACAAGAGCCGAGCACCGAAGGTAAGCCACTGCGCTTGTGCCGCAATAATCTTGCCTGATCGGTATGCTAACTCAATCTTACAGACGCCATGAGCTGAACCACAACCCTGAAGCCCTATTCCGGTGTACCCACAGCCACTGCAAAAAGGCATTCCACCGCCCTGACCTTCTCGCCCGCCACATGGAAAGACAGTAAGTACTTCCTGCTACTACGGCTTGCTTGTCTCTTTTACTGACGATTACCCTCAGCGAATTGGAAGCACAGATGGATAGGACTGCCCAATGGCACCAGCAGAGCCGTACTCCCATCATCTCTGAGCCTTATGTCCCTGCCACCACGTCTATGCCCGCAACTCAAACACCATACCTGGCTGTCACCCAACCGCACAATGCGATGTCGGTTGGGGCCCTCGTGGCGCCTGCCATCCACCCAGACCTCTCCAATGACTGCGGCTTGATGTGGAATAGTGTCGAAATTACATCTGGACACCAGACTCCTTTGTACCAAGGCCCCCATCAGATCCACGAGTCCGTAGAAGACAGTCGGTACTACGCTACCCCGGAAACGTGCCCGTCCCCTATCTCGGATGGCACTTCCCTCTCAGTTCACTCTCACTCCCGTTCGTCTGTCGTCTCCACACCGGTTACGGTCGCTGAACCGTATCCCGAGAGCCTCATGGAACCCGACCTGACTTCCTCGCCAATGTCCATGCAGTCGACTATGCGCTGCTGGGAACAGCCAGACACCAGCCTCCCGTCCCTAAGCATGATGCCTCTTCCTCTCACCGAAAGCCTCCTTCATCCGGTATGTCAATCAGACAGAACATCCACGATAGTATAATCATCGCTAACCTACCATTGCAGTCTATCCACTGCCATTATCCATCGCCCAGCTGGTCAGCGAGCCCAAGCCTGACCTATGAGGAACATGCCCTTCCCCCCGCCTCATACCCGCCCGCAATGAACTGGAAGTCGTGGGCGATATGAGCGACAACCAAGCCAACAGGCGGTGATAACTTTCATTTCTTTACCACCGACGACAGGCCGGTGCCTAATTAGGGCTTATGAGCCATGCTCCCATACGACTGATACGCTATTACTCGCCTCCCTCTGGATGAAACGCAGTGATAAATCTTAATATCTCTGGTACTCCTAATTCGTGCGGGCCGGGAATAATGCGACCATACGAGAAGAAGAGAACTACGCAGCATCACCGTCAAGCCGGTCTCGCACCGTTCAATCGAACCATAATACGACACTAATGCCGTCATGCACTGACGTTGGCATCACCGGGTCCACGAGGCTCTGGGAAAAGGCCATTAAAGAAAAAAGTGGCCTGATCCCATAATCCATCTGCCTACTATCTTTCCTTCTTGTCATTTCCTTTGTCTGTCTGCACATATTTCCTTTGTTCTGGAGAAAAAGCCTTGGTTTGCGAATGGCTACCCGGCTGTGGGATGGCGTCCATTTTGGATCTTTATGAATTGATTATATACCCATGTTGTGTGGCTTTCTTATTTTGCAACGTGCACTGATTGTCCATATGTCATGTTATATTGAGTTATGCTAGCTTGATGGTTTTCTTACTTTCCCTTTTATTGTGTGTCTTGATGCCTTATCTGAGCCAATGATGTTTTCTCTTTTCTTTTCCTCTATGCAACCTTGTACAATGCTTTGCTTTTTCTTATAGAAATCATTTTGTATACTAGTATAGACTACGCTTCTTGCTGCAAAACAGATCATTTTAACACTTCACTTCTTCTGATATTGTTTTTGATAATTCCTCTGATAATATTTCGAATAGCTTACAATGTTTAAATATATATTGACTTCGAGAATAGACATTGGTGTCTCTTTATTTTTGAATAGCTAATGAGTCTTGTAGTGTGGAATCCATGAGGATCTGACGAGAATTATGGCACAAATACTAGTCCGTTGAGAACAATCCAGACGATGTTGGCAATCATGATACCAGGACTATGTATCCCATTAGTGACTGCTGCTAGATATGTTTCTCATGCCATGATGATATCTGAGTTCATCTCGCTAGATGAGACTCAATTCCAGCCTAGAGTCTAGAAATATCCAGGATACCAAGTCGCCATTAATATCCTATCCTCGTCTACCAGACAAATAGCTATCTAGGCACCTGGCAATTACTCCATCTAGCTAATATTCGTAAATCATCAAACGTTCCTCAGCTCATCTCTGGCTGGGATGACTCTCCAACACCATCCACACCAGCTTCGATGTTGTCCCCGCTCCTCTCTAGTAAGATACTCGCCTGTTTCACGCTCATCTTCATGCTCTACTACGCAAGCACCCACTGTGACTCGTTTCTTCGCCTTGTGTTTGACGCGGCCTCCGATGCCTATGATCTCCTGTCGGAAGTAGCCGGGTTCTTCTTCCTCACGGTGTTCCCAGCCGTCATGGGCATGGTTATGGTGTCGTGGAGGACTCTGGCTGTGGCGGTGTTCGTAGTAGCGGCCGTAGTCAGGGGGGCTCCCTGAGGCTTCGTCCGCTTCGCATTCTACTTCTAGCTCGATTTCTTGAGCGGCAAGACAGTCCTCTCCTCGACCGCATTTCACGCCCTGGCAGCCTTCGCCGATACCAGTGCCGAGACCGCCAAGGTAGGTACTATAACGGGTGCGCCATGTCCATACCCGTCGGTAGGTTGTATCGCTGCTGCGTACTTGGTGTCCGCACTGGTGACAAAGCCATATAGCATCATCGCAGGAGCAAGGTGTACGCTGGAATGCCGAAATGATGGACCGAGGAGTCTGAGAAGGCGAATTTGCGTAGATATTGTGTGGATGAGCATGTTCGTAGGGTGGCTCGATAAGCTCATTCAGCGGGGCCGTACGACAAGTGGTGCAGAGACGACGAATGCGGTGCCTGAGCATGTGGCTGGATGGGGGTTTGATAACGCAGTTCTGGGTGACAAAGGTATCAGTATTACCATGAAGACAGAGAGCTTGGTGGAACGGACTCACCCGGCACACAACCTTGGAACATCGACGGCATTCGGCCACCATATCTCGGGCGCATTTGGAGATCTTACCACTGGTCAAGCGTCCGGAACTTCTGGCGTTCTGGCTGAGCAAGCGCATAACCGACTTGACGCTGTCGGGAATGCAAGCTCCGCTGTCCAACATGTCCGACAGTGTCTCGATATACTCATTCTCACAACGCAAGGTCTGCTTCACCAGCTGCTGGCGATAGGGAGACAAATTGGCGTGGAATTGACGGCATGTCCGCGAGAGGGCGTGCAGAGTATTCAGATCCACCGAGCGAGCAATTTCCTTGATGATTCTGTATCCGCAGTTAGCACACCATACCGAACCAGACACTGGAGCGGCCTGGTTCAAAGTGTCTCATACGGATAGCAGCTCAGAGCAGCTGAGAAGGCATTCCGATTTGGATCTTGTTGTGGCGCTTTAGGGATGGGAGAAATGCTGTGTAACGGGTCTGTGGAGCGATCACTGTCCGCGGATGGATCCGCTGCACGATGCGGCGGCTCGTCCGGCCTGACGGGCAATAGTTCGGATAACCCAGGCTTTTTGGGTTCGATGTAGGGATGTAGGAAGGAATTGGAGGGACCCGAGATGCTATGCGGGCTAAGCGCATCGTCTTCGAAGTCAATGAAAACCACCATCCTGTTTAGAGGGAAGTAATGATCACACAGGCGGAGGGAAAAGAGATCCACAGGTTCCGTAGAGGCTTGCTAGCCGGCAGCAGCCTGGATGAACGAGCAACGAGAATTGAGCAGTAGAAGCGAGGCAGACGAGCCAAATCACTCTGGCTGGGCCATAATAGGATTATAACACGTTCAAGGAAGCACAGGATGCCTGTTGAATGGCTGCAGTGGGATGATACGGCAGGGAAACATCCAGCTCCGCTCCGTATTCGGCGCGGGTCCTGAAGATCAACAGCAGTGGTTCGTCTCGGGCGATCGAGAACCCGTGGGCAATTTGGCTGGGTCAGATGGGGAACCCCAACGTGGAACCGAAACCTTCAGGGCGGCCCTTATTATATTTGAGGCAGACAAGTCATATCCAAGGCGCCTCGTGGAGGATAACTTGCCGGCAGCTTTCTTCTCCCAACGTCATTCTCCGTTGGGGTCACGCGTCGGCTGCCCGTCAGGTGCCACGCCTTTCCTCTTCGGGAAGGTACATCGCCCTCTCTCCGCTCCTCCGCATTTGCTCTGCTTCCCTCTTTGCTTGATCTTCTTCTACTTACTTTATGTGTGGATATTGTACTTGAGGGGAAAAATTGCAGGTACGACTATCATGCTGGGAGAATTCTATTCTATCTTCCCGTGTTATTTCGTATCAATTGGGTGTAGTTGGTACATCTACGCCTAGTAAAGATGGACTCGAGCGGCCAAAAGGAGGGGTGAGACTCATCTTACCCCACCACGCAGTTGGAGTCATTTCTAGTATCTTATCGGGGAAGTCGGGGCATTTCCCGAGGATAAGTGACCACCTCTCTTTCGTATCGCCGATCCCAAGCCTCCAGTGAGAATCTACTTCTTGCTTGATATTTCTTTTCCTCTTCTCTGCCACTTGACTCCCTTAGATCCTCCTCCGCGAGACCCTCTTCCCCATCGCAAACACCGCCTGATCACGCCATCAAGATGCCATTGAACTCCAAAGCTGTCTATTCTCGTCTAAACCCCGACTTTGCCCCTTTTGCGAGTCGGAGGAGTACTGTGCATAGCACGAAAGGAATCGTAACCTGTACTCAGCCATTGGCGGCCGCCGCAGGTCACAGAATCCTGAGTGAAGGAGGCAATGCCGCAGTACGTCTTAGAAGAAACCTGCCCTCTGCTTAGATGTAATGCTAACTTCGGGAAAAGGATGCTGCTGTAGCTGTCGGTCAGTAGAACAAGTGTGTTTAGAGAGAAGATGAAACTAAGAGAAACGTGTCTACTAGCTGCGGCATTGAATATCACGGAGCCCTCATCCACAGGCATCGGTGGAGACATGTTTTGTCTCTTCTATGATGCCAAAACGAAGAAAGTCCACTCACTGAACGGCTCTGGTCGCTATCCTGCCAATGCGACTCTCGAAAAGGTCAGGAAGGATCTGAACCTTGGCCCGGATGATTCTGGGAAAATACCAATGACCAGCGTCCTCGCCGTGTCTACTCCAGGTGCCGCGGCAGGATGGGTTGATACTGTGGAAAAGTTCGGTAGTGGAAATCTGTCCTTGGAGCAGATCTTGCGTCCTGCCATTGAACTCGGTGAGGAAGGCTTTCCTGTCTCGGAGTTGGCATCTTTCTTTGTAAGCATATTGTTCGCTTCGTTCAACCCATACGAAAAGCTGACTTCTTACAGTGGCACGAAAGCGAGCATCTGATTCGTGCAGCATCGCCAAACTACCACGAGATGCTCAAATCTGACCCTAACGCTGAAAATGGTGTTCGGAGCCCTCTACCCGGAGAAATCCTGCGAAATCCCACACTCGCCCAAACATTCCGAGCGCTTGCCGCAGAAGGAAAGAAGGGTTTCTATGAGGGACGTGTTGCAGAAGAACTTGTCAAAGTCGTCCAGGACCTGGGAGGCTATATAACCCTGGAAGACCTTAAGTTCCACGCCGAAACAGGAAGCCAGGAAACAGAAGCCGTCTCGCTTAAGTTTACCGGTCAGGATATTGTGGAGAAGCAGACCGCCGGTACGACCGGCGAGGCTAACCAGGGAGTGGAAATATGGGAGCATCCACCGAACGGGCAGGGTATCGTGGCTCTTATGGCCCTGGGTATCCTCGAGGAATTAGAACGCACAGGAAAGATCCCAAAGTTCACTGAGGCACAGCACAACTCCGCCGAATATCTACACGCAGTCATCGAGAGCCTTCGCATTGCATTTGCCGATGGGTCCTGGTGGGTCACCGATCCCGACGTGGAGAAGGTCCCAAGCAAGGAACTTATATCCCGCGAGTATCTCGCGGAGCGTGCCAAGCTGTTCAATCCTGATAAGGCTTCTGATATCATTGATCATGGCAGTCCAGCTCACAACCATTGTGATACGGTATACTTTGCAGTGACAGACAAAGAGGGCAACGGTATCTCTTTCATCAACAGCAACTATGGTGGTTTCGGAACGTGTATCATACCAAAGGGATGCGGGTTCACACTACAAAACCGGGGTGCCAACTTCTCGCTGACCCCTGGGCATCCGAACGTTCTGGCCCCGCGCAAGAGACCCTATCATACCATCATTCCGGCATTGATCACTAACGTCTCTGACGGTTCTCTTCATTCAGTATATGGTGTGATGGGCGGCTTCATGCAACCACAGGGTCACGTACAGGTCCTGCTCAATATGCTTGCATTCAACTACCACCCTCAAGCTGCGCTCGATAGTCCTCGAATCTGTATCGCCGCTGGTAACGCCGATGGCGAAAAGCCCATCGACAGAACAGTTTATGTCGAGGAAGGTGTCAGCGATGCTGCTGTTGAGGGCCTAAAGCAGCTGGGCCATCAAGTCGAGGTTCTGACTGGATGGAAGAGGGGCATGTTCGGCCGTGGTCAGATTATCCGTTGTCATTATGATGATGGGAAGCTGGTGTACAGCGCTGGTAGCGACTTGAGAGGTGATGGAATGGCAATTCCAGCCCTGTGAAGTTTTACCCCGGGGATTTTAAAACCTCATTATGACGAGCTAAGACGATACGTATCCTAGAATGTGCCAATGCAGCCCAAATAAGTTGATTCATTCATGTCCCACAGCGCGCTCAGAAACCCATAAACGTAAGGACTGAAGTAAAAGAAATTCCGCTAGTTTCCACACGCTTCACCGTAGACAGCACTTTTCAAGAAGAAAAGAAAACATTAGAAGTAAATATAAGCCTCATATAGAAAACAAGTCATATCATTCGTGAAAATAATCAATTGCATGCAGCATACATCAAACGTAAGGTACATGAGAATAGAACCGAAATAGGCTAAAATGCTTCATATGAAAAAGCCACAAGCACCCCGAACCATATGCTATTCCCGCTGATGCATGCATGCTGTGAACCTGCTGCGATAAATGCAAAGTGAAACAAAGCAAAACAATGAATAAATAAATACATCGAACTGACGGGAAGAACGGAAGGGAAGGACAGGATTACCACAAGGGTGATTGGGTTTGTTGATTCCCCGGCAAGCTATCATCAGTGAGCAGCAATCGCTCCCAAGAGGGTCTTCAGCTTGGAAGGCCCACTGGGTGGAGGAGACGGCTCGCGACGATGCCTGTGATGGCGATGGCGATGCTCTCCGCTACTGCGGTGATGGCGACGTTGCTCGGGTTCCTCCTCCCTTGCCCTTGCTTCCTGCTCCATTTCCATCCTCTTGCGCTCTCTGCGAGCTTCACGCCGAGCTCGAGCTTCTTCGTCGTCCTCGGGACGTGATCGACCGGAGCGCTCACTGCTGCTCTTGCCTTCTTGCGACTGACGTTGACTCTGGTGGGAGGATGACCTTCTCTCACGATCTTTGTAGACGTTGGCGGAGGCCTTGGCAGCATTGATCTTCAGGAGTGGGCCGTTGGTGTCCGACTGACCCTCCATATACTTCAGGAAGAAGCGAGGCTTGGGTTCTGTGGACTGGGTGTGGCGTGATGAAGAGCTGCTCTTGCGCTCGCGGTCCTGGCTTCCGGAGTGATCTGAGCGTGGGTGTGACCTGGCAGGTGCGCTCTCTTTCCCGCTCAACGAACGTTCGGATTGTTCCAAGTTCCTTGATCTCGCGCTTCGCTCAGAGCGCTTTGCGCGTTCCCGCTCCCGCTCCCGTTCAAGTTGTTCACGTTGTTCGCGTTCGCGCTCTCGTTGTTGTCTGCGCTCACGCTCTTGTTGTCTGCGTTCTTGCTCTTGTTGTATACGCTCCTGCTCTCGTATACGCTCCTGCTCTCGTTGTATACGCTCTTGCTCTTGTTGTATACGCTCTTTTTCTTGTTGTCTGCGCGCGCGTTCTTGTCGTCTTTGCTCGCGCTCGCGCTCACGCTCGAGCTCGCGTTGGCGTTCGTACTCTCGTTCCCGTTCACGTTTCCGCTCGTCGCGATCCCGGTCACGCTCCCGCTGCTTATCCTTTTCTCTCTCTCTTCCACGGTCCAAAGAGCGGCGCTCTTTCTCGATGACCTGGATCTTTTGCTTCTGCTTCTCTTCATGAAGTCTTTTGGACTCCTGTAAAGCTTGTGCCCATCGACCCACAATACCAACACGCTCACCTTTTTGCCGTTGGGATCGATGGCCGTCAGAAGAGCTTCTAGACTCCTTCCGATCATAGTCGGCGTCAGGTGATCTTCTGTGCTTCCTTCGTGAGTCTTTCCGGTGGACTGATGCGGCGGCTGCGGCGGCGGCAGCAGCAGCAGCGGCCCCGGCCGCGGCTCCAGCTAGGATTTCGCCTCTTGAAGAATCAATAGCCTCGGTTTCCTCTGACGGCTCTGAGCTCGGATCTGCTTCATATCCTTCGCTTTCGCCATGTTCTTCCGGTAGCGGTGCAGCGACTTCTGATGGGTCGATAGGAAAAGATCTCTCAGCAGGGGCTATATCTTCTGCCGGTTCTGGTTCATTGACCGAACCGGGTTCGTCAACAGGTGCAGCGTCTTCAACGGCAGCCCGCTCTTCAGCAGGAACGGCCTCTTCGACCGGAATGGCCTCTTCCACAACAGCAGGTTCTTCCACAGCAGTAGGTTCTTCCACAGCAGCAGGTTCTTCCACAGCAACAGGTTCTTCCACAGAGGCGGGTTCTTCCACAGCGGCGGGTTCTTCCACAGAGGCGGGTTCTTCCACAGAGGCGGGTTCTTCCACAGCGGCGGGTTCTTCAGCCGGGGCAGCTGCTTCCGGAGCAGGCTTCTCAGCAGCAGGTTCCACTGCAACAGGCTCTTCCGCTGCAGTAGGTTCTTCTACCGGAGCAGGTTCTTCTGCTGCAACAGGCTCTTCCGCTGCAGTAGGTTCTTCTATCGGAGCAGTTTCTTCTGCTGCAACAGGCTCTTCAACGGTGATTTCTTCTACTGGGGCTGGTTCTTCCGCAGTTGTTTGCTCATCAGCAGCAGGTTCCTCCGCCGAGGGAGGCTCTTCTGCAGCAGGGGTAGCCTCTTCCACCGGAGCAGGTTCTTCCACTGGTGCGGGGTCGTCAACAGCTTGTTCAGCGGGAACCTCTTCAACAGACGAAGACTCTTCTACTGGCGGTTGTTCTTCAGCGGCAGCGAGCTCCTCGGGAGCAGGTTCTTCGACCGGAGCAGGTTCTTCGGTGACAGGCTCTTCGGCGACGGGCTCTTCAGAGGCGGCAGGTTCCTCAGTGGTGGTAGGTTCCTCGGTGGCGGGAATCTCGACAGCTTTCTCAACCGGGGCAGGCTCTTCAACCGGGGCGGGCTCTTCAACCGGGGCGGGCTCTTCAACCGG